AGATGTTCGATCAGGTTCAAGTCCGGGCTCTGGCTGGGCCACTCAAGGACATTCAGAGACTTGTCCCAAAGCCACTCCTGCGTTGTCTTGGCTTTGTGCTCAGCGTCGTTGTCCTGTTCGAAGGTGAACCTTCACCCCAGTCTGAGGTCCTGAACGCTCTGGAGCAGGTTTTCATCAAGGATCTCTCTGCACTTTGCTCCATTCATCTTTGTCTCGATCCTGACTAGTCTCCCAGTCCCTGCCGCTGAAAAACATCCCCACAGCATGATGCTGCCTCCACCATGCTTCACTGTAGGGATGGTGCCAGGTTTACTCCAGATGTGACGTTTGGCATTCAGGCCAAAGAGTTCAATCTTGGTTTCATCAGACCAGAGAATCAGGTTTCTCATGGTCCGAGAGTCCTTTAAGTGCCTTTTGGCAAACTCCAAGTGGGCTGTCATGTGCCTTGTACTGAGGAGTGGATTCCATCTGGCCACTCTACCATAAAGTCCTGATTGGTGGAGTGGTGCAGAGATGGTTGTCCTTCTGGAAGGTTCTCCCATCTCCACAGAGGCAGTGTAGAGCTCTGTCAGAGTGACCATCGGGTTCTTGGTCACCTCCCTGACCAAGGCCCTTCTCCCCCGATTTCTCAGTTTGGCCGGGCGGCCAGCTCTAGGAAGAGTCTTGGTGGTTCCAAACTTCTTCCATTTAAGAATGATGGAGGCCACTGTGTTCTTGGGGACCTTCAATGCTGCATAAATGTTTTGGTACCCTTCCCCAGATCTGTTCCTCGACACAATCCTGTCTCGGAGCTCTACGGACAATTCCTTCGACTTCATAGCTTGGTTTCTGCTCTGACATGCACTGTCAACTGTGGGACCTTACGTAGAAAGGTGTGTGCCTTCCCAAATCATGTCCAATAAATTGAATTTACCACAGGTGGTAAGAAAATCAATACTAAGATGAAACCATGGTCGTTGTGGAACTGGTAATGGTTGTAGCTTACCCGCTGGGAGGTGCCTAAGTGCCTTACTCTGGGCGCACACTGAGCAGGAGGAAACATACAACCTCACGTCCTTAGCCAAGGTAGGCCACCAGTACTTCTCGGTCAGGCAGCGCATTGTACGACCGATACCTGGATGACCAGAGGAGGGTGACGTGTGTGCCCAGTAGATCAGACGATCACGGATAAGCGCAGGCACGTACTGCAGCCCAGCTGGACACTGCTGTGGAGATGGATCTGTGCGTAATGCCTGCGCTATATCCGCGTCCATCACCCATACTACCGGCGCCACAATGCATGAGGCCGGGAGTATGGGTGTGTTGTCTCTGGGCCTCTCCTCTGTGTCATACAGCCGAGACAGTGTGTCTGCCTTCACGTTCTTCATACCCGGAATGTATGAGAGTGTGAAATCAAACCGGGTGAAGAAGAGGGCCCACCTGGCCTGGCGAGGATTCAGCCTCCTCGCTGCCCGAATGTACTCCAGGTTACGGTGGTCTGTTCAGACGAGGAAAGGGTGTTTCGCCCCTTCGAGCCAATGCCTCCACACCGTCAAAACTCAGACAACAGCCAGCAGCTCCCGATCACCAACGCCGTAGTTCTGCTCCGCCGAGCTGAGCTTCTTCGAAAACAAGACACAGGGGCGGAGCTTGGGTGGCGTGCCTAAGCGTTGGAATAAGACAGAGCCTATCCCTATTTCGGACGCATCCACCTCCACTATGAACGGTAGTGATGGATCAGGGTGAGCCAGTACCGGGGCGGAGATGAACAGACCCCATAATCTACTGAAGGCCAATTCAGCCTCAGCAGACCAGCGGAGCCGGGACGGCCCACCCTTCAACAAGAAGGTAATGGGAGCTGCGACCTTGCCAAAGCCCCGAATAAACCTCCGATAGTAGTTGGCAAAGCCAAGGAAGTGCTGCACCTCCTTCACCGTGGTTGGAGTCGGCCAATTACGCACAGCTGAAATGCGATCTCCCTCCATCTCCACACCTGTGGTAGTAATGCTGTATCCGAGGAAGGAGATTGACTGCTGGAAAAACTCACACTTCTCTGCCTTGGCATAAAGATAATTTTCCAGCAGTCAGACCAGTACCTTGCAAACCAGGGACACATGCTCGGCGCGTGTAGAGGAATACACCAGGATGTCATCGATGTAGACCACCACACCTCGACCAAGCATGTCCCGAAACACCTCGTTCACAAAGGACTGGAAAACGAATGGAGCATTCATCAAACCGTAGTGCATCACCAGGTATTAATTATGCCCCGAGGTTGTGCTGAATGCTGTTTTCCACTCATCCCCTTCCCGAATATGAACCAGGTTGTAGGCACTCCTGAGGTCTAATTTTGTGGACAAAAAACGGGCCCCATGCATTGACTTAATCACTGAAGGAATGAGGGGAAGAGGATAACTAAATTGTACCGTCACCTTATTCAGTGGTTGATAATCAATGCACGGGCGTAAACCGCCATCTTTCTTCTTCACAAAGAAGAAACTTGAGGAAGCAGGTGAAGTGGAGGGATGTATATACCCCTGGCGCAGGGACTCGTGACGTATGTTTCCATAGCCTCCGTTTCAGCCTGCGACAGGGGATACACATGACTCCTGGGAGGTACAGCGTCTACCCAAAGGTTTATCGCGCAATCCCCCTCCCGATGAGGTGGTGATTTAGTCGCTTGCGTCTTTGAAAACGTGAATGCCAGATCATGGTATTTGAGGGGAATGCACACGGTGGGAGTACCGTCTGGACTTTCCACCGTGGTCGCACCAACGGAAACACCTAGACACCTACCCGGACACTCACGCTACCACCCCGTAAGAACCCTCTGCGGCCATGAAACATTGGGGTTGTGCAGGGCTAACCAGGGAATACCAAAGACTACAGGGTAAGCAGGAGACTCAATAATCAAAAAAGTGATCTGCTCAACATGCGTCTCCTGTGTAATCATGGTGACTGGTACAGTAACCTCCTTAACCAACCCGGACCCTAATGGTCGACTATCAAGTGCTCTGATGGGGAGTGGAATTGATAGGGGAACCAATGAAATGCCTTGACGGCATGCAAATGCCCTGTCCATAAAGTTCCCAGCTGCGCCTGAATCGACTAGCGCCTTACACTGGGAAACTACCAGGTGATCGGGAAAGGAGATAGATAGGGTACAGTGCGCCGTAAAGGGCTCTGAACAAGTTTGGGTATTCATTACCTGGGGTGATGCGTGAGTACCCTACCTACCGCCTCTAGACCCAAAAGAACGTTGACTGCGACTTGAGGTGGATTGTCCCTTCGTGCCATCAGAGTGGCACTGTCACTGTCCTCCTGCGCTCTCTCGACCGGCGGCTCCCCACAGCTCCATCTGCTCGGGTTCAGAGTCGTCCGGAGTGGGAACGGGCAGATCCCTACCAGGGCGTCCTCTGGCTGCTAGCAGATTGTCCAGCCGGATGGCCATGTCCACCAGTTGGGAGAACGATAGCATGGCATCACGGCAGGCTAGCTCCCGTCGGACGTCCTCCCTTAGGTGGCACCGGAATTGGTCGATCAGGGCCCGCTCATTCCACCCGGACCCCGCTGCCAGCGTCCGGAACTCCAGCGCGTAGTCCTGTGCGGTCCTCGTCCCCTGCCTCAGATGGACCAGTCGTTCGCCCGCCTCTCGACCCTCAGGCGGGTGATCGAAAACGGCCCGAAAGAGGCGAGCAAACTCCCCGTAGTCCTCCAACGCGGCACTTCTCTCGTTCCACACCGCGTTGGCCCACTCCAGGGCTCTCCCACAAAGGCAGGAAACGAGGATGGATACCTTCTCCTGCTCCAGTGGCGCCAGCTTGATGCTGGAGAAATACAGCTCGAGTTGGAGCATAAATCCCTTACATAGCGCTGCCGTCCCATCCATCAAACGCTGGTGGCCGAGATATCTGGATCCCTCCAGGGGCTGGGGTGTAGGTGGCTGGATCCGGTTGACCAGCTGATCTCGATAGATCGGGTCCTCTCCTCTCCAGGCGTTCTACTACCTGAAGAACCCAATCCATCGCTTCCCCCAAGCTGGCCAGCATCGAGGAATGCTCCTGGACCCTTGCCACAACTCCAGGCATGCGGTCTTCTCCTGCTGACACCATTCAGCGGGTGAGTGATTCTGTGACGAGGTGTGAATGAAGGAGTCAGGCGCAGGAGGTAAAACACAGAAGTCCAGAGTTTATTCCGTTTACATAAATCAAACGCTCCCAGCGTGAAAACTAAACTATAACAAGGGAAAATATTCCACCTTGGCAAGTACGAATAGAAGAGTAGCTCAACCGAGCTACTCGCTCTCACAATAAACAATCACTCACAAAGACAAGGGGAACAGAGGGAACACTTATACACATACTATTTAGGGGAATGAGCACCAGGTGTGTGTGATTGACAAGACAAGACATGACAAGTGGAGTGATGAGAATGGAATCGGCAGTAGCTAGTAAGCCGGTGACGACGAACGCCGAAACCTGCCCGAACAAGGAGGGGAGGCAGCCTCGGCGGAAGTCTGTGGTCTTGGGGGTGGCATACAGCCTCGGAGACAGAACTACCTGTCAGGCATCGTTCAGGGCTTAAATGCCCCACGAGGGATTACATAACCCATAAGTTTGCTAACATTCTAATTTATAAACTGATAATGAGCTCCAAACACAAACGAAAGCATGATGTTAGCATGAAATGTACCATTCCTTAGTGTAGCAATCAATAAAAACATATGTCAGGCATGAGAAGGATGAGACACTAGAGGTTGTGTAGTGTCATACATGTGTGACATTGTAGTTCAAGAGGCAAGATATTTAAATTATTGACAACAACAAATGAAGGACATCTTACTTTTTTTGCGTTATGATCTTGATATAGCTTAGTATTCTTCTATAAGTGTATCTTTATTATGCTCACTTACTGTATATATTATTCAATACTTCTATGTTCTATCCTCATGTATTGCTCACTTTCAATTGTGTGTTTCTATTCTAAATGGCACTATTTCCTTGGGAGTCTAGGAACCAGTAATGGACCAGAACCTGTTTGGAGGGGCCCCCAGATTCCTCACGCGGCCCAAGGCGTTCGCAGTGTGCGTGGGCAAGGATGCCACTCTAAGCTGCACCATCGTGGGCAACCCCACCCTAATGATTACCTGGGAAAAAGAGAAGCTACGTCTGACCTCCGGGGGCCGCTTCAAGATGGTGGATGATGGTAATGTCTACCGCCTCACCATCTACGATCTAACCCTGGAAGACAGTGGCCAGTACATGTGCCGGGCCAAAAACAACGTTGGGGAGGCATACGCATGCGTAACCCTTCATGTAGGCCTTCCACAGGAGATGGTGGAGAGGGCCCCCGTCTTCATGGTCAAGCCTACCTCTGCACGCGTGGGCCTGGGGGGTGATGTGGTCTTCCACTGCCGGGTTGCGGCTTACCCAGAGCCCAAATTTGACTGGGATAAGGACGGGCGTTACCTGGCCGAGACAAACCGCATCAAGGTGACCTCGGACGGCGACAGCAGCTCCCTGAGGATCCAGAGCGTGCGCAGCCTGGACAGCGGCACATACACCTGCCGCGCCCAGAACTCGGTGGGCCGCTCGAACTCCGCCGCCGCCTTGGTCATAGACACCCAGGACTCCCGTCACCTGTGCCAGGACAAGAGCACCTCCCTCCTCTCCCACCTGCAGAAGCGTAAAGAAGGGATCTCCATCTACCGCACAGCCGAGACCAGCAGCTCCTGTTACAACTCCACCACCACCCCTTCCACGGCCACCAATATGGTCACAGACGGGCTGAGCGCTCTGGGTCTGGACCATGGCAGCGCAGCACTGGTCAGCCAGCTACCCAAAAGCGTCTTCACCCGCACCTGCACGGTGACTGAGGGCAAGCATGCCAAGCTCAGCTGCTTCGTGACGGGTCACCCCAAGCCTCATATCATCTGGAGGAAGGATGGGGGGAACATCGGCGAGGGACGCAGGCACATCATGTATGAGGACCAGGCCGAGAACTTCATCCTCAAGATCCTGTACTGCAAGCAGAGCGACAATGGCCTGTACACCTGTAATGCCTCCAATATGGCCGGACAAACCTACAGCGCTGTGCTGGTGATCGTTAAAGGTAAGAAGAGCTTTTTTAAAACCTTTTGACAAGCTTGGTATACAGTATGCTCACTGGTGTAGCACACACCTCCGTAGCCCTCGTGGTTGGGGTTCCCCCAGGGGTCGGGCCCACCAGATAGCATAAGCCATGATTACATTTTTTGGAATGACAGGAAATTAGCTTTAAAACTGCAGATTTTTAGATCAGCCTCATGGCAAAATGTGTCAAATATACATGTACAATGTTTTTCATTTCTTTTTTTGGTTGGGGGGGCTTGCTCGGACCTTACGGGGGGCTCCACGAAAATGCGCTACGCCACTGAGTATGCTGTTATGTTGGTACAGTCTTTCAAGAGCGATGTTTGGTTTGAATATACTGTAAATTATATAAAATAGTGAATTTACTCTATGGATGATCATTTCAATTTGTCCATTCTCAAAGAAAATGTTTAGCATTTGTTTTTTCATAGTCTCGCATTGCCATATCTCGCATTGCACTCCCAAGTCTAGTTCATCACTTGGCTGTTGAGGAAAAAGTTAGGATCGTTTTTCCATAATATTTCCATGACAAGGCAAAAGGATTCATGACTCATGGAGGGACATAACAATGCTTGTCATGTAGGGAGATGACCTTAGATTAGTCTCTCTCATTGCTCTATATGAATTGGCTGATACCGGACTAGTATATAAGTTATAAATATAACATTTGTTTAAATATAGCTCAAGTGTCTGCAATGCAAGCCTACATAACAGTTTGTCATTCTTGTGATGTCGAGGTCCCCCTGTACTGGACTTGTGCACTTCGAAGCATTGGTTTCAGAGAGTGTTTAAACATGATAGCTAAAGAAATCTGAGGAGGTTAACTGAGTGTGTGTTTCCCTTGAGATAGTGTATAATGTCATACAGTCATGCTCTTTCTGAAATGAATTTCGACAAGTCTGTCTATACCAATGACTGTATACTGTATATGAATGGACAAAGCCATCGATCACGTGACACCATTCATTCCTATGTGAAGACTCAATATTGCATTTGAAGCCAAGTCGGGTTAAGATGGCATCTCATGGAGACATAACATGCACAGTTTGAGCTACTCCAGGAAGTGGAGTTGCAGGCTAGCTCAGTTATGCCCCTTCTCATTGAGTAAGATTGACCACAAAGATTGTCATTTCCCCATTCACTATAATGGGGGATCCTGTTTTCTGCAAACAATGCCTGCAGTACCGCGGTCAGCCTTCGTGGCTTGATGAGAGGGGGCAGTTGTTCTCCCCTGGTCTACACTACCAGAATTAACGAAAGTAAGCTAAAACGTTCACCTGAGCACAGTTTAACTTTTCTCCAACATAGACTTAAATGCTGGCAGCGATATGAAGGGGGAGTGTTGTATTTGATCTATTTTAAGCCGGTGATGAGTAGTTCACAATGCCTATTAGCCCGCTGTGACCCCCAGGCGCCAGAGCTAGGGTGACTTTCCATGAGCCACCCCTGATTGGCTAGAAGCCTGGAGCATGGATTATCAATGGCGGTTATTAATCTCTGTCTCAATTTGACAGCGAGTGCAGAGCCCATGGCAGTGCATTTGGTTGCGTCTGGTTATAATTGATGCCGGATAATGGATACTCGACATGCCTGCCTTGTTGTTGTGTTGTTGTTTTATAGGATTTTGTCGGGGGCTTTGCAAGGGAGCGGGGCTGTATTCCTCTGCCCTTTATGCACCAGTGTTCCTATTAATACCAGATAATTTTGATAATCCCCTGGTATGCAATAAGCACCTTTGGAAAAGGTCATAATAGAAACCTACTCAGTAGTCCCAGCCAAACATTCAAAACACACACATTTAGATGATAAGATATGTGGGGAGATGAGAGCAGCACATAAACGCTAACCCAAAATGTAAGTGAATATGGTTTACCCTCTGACCCTTCTCAACCCTCTGAACTGTTTCCCAAAAGCATAAGCCACTATTTTGAAATTATTTAATGTTTTTGCTGATTATTTTGAGTGCTGATGACTTGTTCTTATTTTATCAAAATGGAGGAATATATAGTAATAACATTGTAAATTGCCTTGTAAGCTCATTCCATAATAAAGTAAACAGACAGTTACATCGTAGAGAACTAAATCATTATTAAGCCTAAATGGAGATGATTCCTTTTGTTTCTGAAAACCAAACATCACTTGTCTATGTAATCTGCTCTCTAAGGATTGTAAATGTTATTTTTATTTTATGAGAATACTCTGAGTGATTTATTGGAGCCCATAGACATCAGTCATAAATCATGTGTGTGTATCACGTTTTTACACTTCTTTCCTGAGGTGGACACATGACAAAATGTTGGCTTGGATTGGTTGGAGAGTATTGGGTTGTTGATGAAATACATAAGTGATTGAAACGCTACTACTGTACACATACATATTTAAAGTGGTACGTGGAGTGTTCAAAAATACTGTAGATACATTAGCTAATTGAATTACTGGAGTCACTCACCTTTTGAAAATGTTTCTGCAATCCTCCTGTGTCATAGCCCAAGGCATTGTATGGTACAGTGTATTCAAAGAAAGACATATTCATTGAATAGGCAAAAACAAAAAGAGATGGACTTTTTGAGCAATTGACTTACGTATCTACCAATATGGATAATTTCCCTTACCTTTTGAGAATTATTCTGCGCTCTTCCCCTGATCCTCAGAGCCCAAGGTGCCGTTCAGGAGGAAGCTGCAAGATGTGGAGGTCCAGGAGAAGATGACGGCCATGCTGCTGTGTGAGGTGCCTGTTTCGGCTAGCCAGGCCAGCTGGTTCATGGAGGAGACACGTCTGGAAGACAGCTCCAAGTACTGCATGGAGGAGGAGGGGACCATGCGTCGCCTCACCATCCGGAATGTCACCACTAATGATGATGCCGTCTACATCTGTGAGATGAAGGAGGGGAGCCGCACCGTGGCCGAGCTCACTGTGCTGGGTACAAAAGCCATTTTTTAATTTTTTTTTGTCATTTAGCAGACGCTCTTATCCAGAGCGACTTACAGGAGCAATTAGGTTTAAGTGCCTTGCTCAAGGGCACATCGACAGATTTTTCACCTAGTCGGCTCAGGGATTAGAACCAGTGAACCTTTCGGTTACTGGCACAACGCTCTTAACCTCTAAGCTACCTGTCCCTAGTCTTCTGACAACCTTCTGATGCATCCATTAACAGATAAGGCAACATCATCACATTGAGATCGTTCCTACATATACTTTGATGGGAAACATATAAGACAGAAGTTTACACTGCTTTAGTTTACAATTACATGTTGTCCAGTTTCGTCATGTAATAGGCATTACTGCATATTACTGTCAAACGATACTGTGAAAATACTGTCAAAACATTTAACGATGCAAAGGGGGTATCCAATTTCCTTTATGACCTCTCCAGGGGGCAATAACCTTGGTATTTCGTTTACACAGTATTAGGGCTGCAGTGTTGTAGACCACACTACACCTGCCCTTTGGTGACCCCTGTGCTTGTCACTTCCAGGCAACATCACTAAGAAGCTGCCCAGGAGGACTGGAGTGCCAGAGAGTGATACAGTGATCTTCTGTGTTGAGCTGGAGCACCCCTGTTCTGACGCCTACTGGACACGCAACGGCGAGCGTCTGAAGCCGGACACACGCATATCCATTGCGTGCACCCTCAGACAGTACACGCTAACCATCAGCCACTGCCAGGCCGACGACTCAGGAGAGGTGGCCTTTGTGGCTGGAGACTGCAAGACCTCCACACGATTCTCTGTCACGGGTGAGCTACAGACATAGACCTAAATGCATAGCACACAGACTCAAAAGCCCTTTTCCTATCACAACGCCAAATAAGGGAATTCTAAATTAGAATACCTTTTTGAATAATCCCATCACAAAGTTACATCTGCAGATACATCATATCACTTATAATTATCTCATGATGTATCAAATGTACATGAGCCTAATCAAACTATACCTCCCTCCCCAGCTGCCAGAAAGCACCCTCCAGATCCCCCTATCGACGTGGTGGTGCGTAACAAGAGTGACTCATCCATCACCCTCCACTGGTCACCCCCAGACAGTGACCGCCCCGTGCCCATCAAAGGGTACATGGTAGAGAGGAGGAAGGTGGGTGCCCAGACCTGGCAGAGGTGCAATGGCATGGAGATCAGCCCCTTTACTGAGATCACGATCCAGAACATCACAGAGGAGGCCAGCTACCAGTTCCGCATCTCTGCAGCCAACGACTACGGCCAGAGCCAATACATGGAGGTGCCTGGGACCTTCTACCTCGGTGAGACAGAGAAATATCTCATTATTATTACTTCCTGGATGTGTCATTTCTTTCTCTCTGTCTCTGGTTTAACAATAACAATAATACACTCTAAACCCTTAGCTGTGAGACAATATATCCTATAAACCACGGCCTCTCCAGATTTGATCACTTCAGTAAAACCCCAGCATGCTGCTTTTGAATTAAGCATATTTATGTGATTTATTTTACCCTTTCTTCCAGAGCCCTCTGCAGAGGTGAAGACAGGCCTGATGAACAGCACATTCATCTCAGGCGAGGAGGCCTCCCTCTCTGTGGACCTGTCTGCCGTGTGCTCTGGCTTCTGGTCTATCAACGGCCGCCTCCTGCGCAGTGGGGCTGACTACCTCATCACACGCCAAAAGACCACACATACGCTGACGATCCGAACTGTCTTGATGGAGATGAATGGAGCCGTGGTCAAATTTGTGGGCGGTGGCTCCGAGAGCACTTGTATACTCAAAGTGAAGGGTAAGCACTGGGATAGAGAGCAATGCCAAGAATAAGAACTGTGGGTTGAATGTGCATGTCTTCATTAGCTGGATGCTTAGACTTGCCTGTATAGAGGCTATATATACAGTATCTCTATGAGTCCTTTTGTATTCATGCTATACAAGCAGTTAGGAACCTCAGTTCCTAACCTCAGTTCCTCATGTGTTTTCTTTTGGTAGACAGTCCTCATCTTTCCATTAGATTTTCCACATACAGCTACATGTGAAACCTCTATTTCTAGCTCCACCTATCCGGTTCACCAGTAAGTCCACTCACACTGAGGTGGTGACCTGCAGCGCCCAGTCTTCCGCCCAGCTGACCACAGATGTGTCCGATTATGATGCTCAGGTGTGTAGTGGGAAAAGTCCAGATGATTGAATTAATGAATGAACAAAGTAATACTTTATTGGTCTGTCAGGGTTAGGAAACTTAAAAGGGGTCGTGTAATAAATACAAAAATACTTTAACTCTTTCAAATTGTCCAGATTCAAATCACTGTGTAAATTAATGTGTTATGCTGTCTCTTATGTGGATTGTGTGTTCAGCCGAATTATAATGTTTCCTCTAACTCTGTAGGTGGTCTGGATGAAGAATGGACAGGAGCTGAAGATGGGCAAGAAGTATGAGTGCATAAGCACCGACCGCAAGAGGATTCTAATGGTACACAATGTCACAGAAGAGGACACGGGCATCTATGAGTGTGTCTTAAATGAAGACAGAATGTCCCTGCAGCTTTCTCTGAAAGGTACAACAGGACAGTCGAAAGATTAAAAAAAAGGAATCACCACAACCCCTGTAGTAATCTGTCATGTTAGAAAGAAGAAACCACTCCAATGAGTACACGTAACTTGTTGGCACCTGGTCCCTCAGATTCCCATATCCTTTTATTAGAATTGCAGGAATAGCAAAATGCTGTACACTTTCACTGAACACCATTTTGGTATTATTATTATAACTTTTTTTTTACACACTGACATATGTTTTTTAAAAACTCTAAATCCAGTGGGTTAGTCTGACCCCGGGTCTTAAACTGACACAGTGTATCAAATGCAACCTCTAACCTACATTGCCTACAGAAAGCCCCTCTCACAACACAGGGACAGGCTGGACTGTGACAGCTAACACCAGGCGCTAGTGAGCCATCTAGCATGGGAAAGAGCTCTCTGTCATCATGTAATAAAGTCCAATGTGTCACTGGTGTTGTCCCACCATCTTCCAACCACGCACAGGCAGACACCCACTTATCATATGATGGTGTATGAAATGTAGCTGTTTGATTATAATAGCATAATCCAATATTTGTAAAGCAAATAAATCATCACAGATAAATAAATAAAATTATTCTCCATATGGTCCTTTGTTAACATTTAATTATAACCTTAAAGTATCAATGGATTGATACCACATTTCTATGAATAAAAAAAGTGGACAATTCAAGTTTTTGTTCTTGATGACAAATCCCATCCCTGTTTCTCTTCCAGATGAAGCCAAGTTCCTGAACAAGCCCAAAGGACCCATGGGGGTAGCACCTGCCCTCAGCGGGGACCTTGAGTTGAACTGTGAGGTATCGTCTGCAAGCGGGGTGGTGGTGTGGAGGAAGGATCAGACATTGGTCACTGAGGACCAAAGAACCACCATCATCTCCAAAGGGACACAGAGGAGACTGGTCATCAAGAACGCCAAGAAGAGTGATGAGGGACACTACTCCTGCGAGACAGTGGAGGACAAAGTCACATTCCAGGTCAAGATAAAAGGTAAGAGAGAAGGGAATGTCTGTCGAGCACACTGGACGAACAGTATCATTGTATTCAGTTCAAATCAAATCAAATCAAATTGTATTTGTCACATACACGTGTTTAGCAGATGTTATTGCAGGTGTAGCGAAATGCTTGTGCTTCTAGTTCTGACAGTGCAGTAATCTCTAACAAGTAATATCTAACAATTTCACAACATATACCCAATACACATAAATCTAAGTAAGGAATGGACTTAAGCATATATAGAGTACCAGTCAAAAGTTTGGACACAACTACTCATTCAAGGGTTTTTCTTTATTTTTACTATTTTCTACATTGTAGAATAATAGTGAAGACATCAAAACTATTAAATAATCCATATGGAATCATGTAGTAACCAAACAAGTGTTAAACAAATCAAAATATATTTTAGATTTGAGATTCTTCAAATAGCCACCATTTGCCTTGATGACAGCTTTGTACACTCTTGGCATTCTCTCAACCAGCTTCACCTGGAATGCTTTTCCAACAGTCTTGAAGGAGTTCCCACATATGCTGAGCACTTGTTGGCTGTTTTTCCTTCACTCTGCCGTCTGACTCATCCCAAACCATCTCAATTGGGTTGAGGTCGGGGGATTGTGGAGGCCAGGTCATCTGATGCAGCACTCCATCACTCTCCTTCTTGGTAAAATAGCCCTTACACAGCCTGGAGGTGTGTTGGGTCATTGTCCTGTTGAAAAACAAATTATAGTCCCACTAAGCCCAAACCAGTTTGGATGACGTATCGCTGTAGAATGCTGTGGTAGCCATGCTGGTTAAGTGTGCCTTGAATTCTAAATAAATCACAGACAGTGTCACCAGCAAATAACCCCCACACTATAACACCTCCTCCTCCATGCTTTACGGTGGGAAATACACATGCAGAGATCATCCGTTCACCCACACCGCTTCTCACTAAGACATGGCGGTTGGAACCAAAAATGTCAAATTTGGACTCCAAACCAAAGGACACATTTCCACCGGTCTAATGTCCATTGCTCGTGTTTCTTGGCCCAAGCAGATCTCTTCTTCTTATTGGTGTCCTTTAGTAGTGGTTTCTTTGCAGCAATTCGACCATGAAGGCCTGATTCACACAGTCTCCTCTGAACAGTTGATGTTGAGATGTGTCTGTGACTTGACCTCTGTGAAGCATTTATTTGGGCTGCAATTTCTGAGGCTGGTAACTCTAATGAACTTATCCTCTGCAGCAGAGGTAACTCTGGGTCTTCCATTCCTGTGGTGGTCCTCATGAGAGCCAGTTTCATCATAGCGCTTGATTGTTTTTGTGAATGCACTTTCATGTCTTAAAGTAATGATGGACTGTCGTTTCTCTTTGCTTATTTGAGCTGTTCCTGCCATAATATGTACTTGGTCATTTACCAAATAGCGCTATCATCTGTATACCCCCCCTCAGTCCTTTGAAAGGCTGGTCATGGCTCACATCAACACCATTATCCCAGAAAACCTAGACCCACTCCAATTTGCATATCGTCCCAACAGATCTACATCTGATGCAATCTCTATTGCGCTCCACACTGCCCTTTCACACCTGGACAAAAGGAACACCTATATGAGAATGCTATTCATTGACTACAGCTGAGCGTTCAGCACCATAGTACCCTCAAAGCTCATCACTAAGCTAAGGACCCTGGGACTAAACACCTCCCTCTGCAACTGGATCCTAGACTTCCTGACGGGCCGTCTCCAGGTGGTAAGGGTAAGTAACAACACATCTGCCACGCTGATCCTCAACATGGGGGCCCCTCAGGGGTGTGTGCTCAGTCCCCTCCTGTACTCCCTGTTCACTCATGACTGCATGGCCAGGCACGACTCCAACACCATCATTAAGTTTGCCGATGACACAACAGTAATAGGCCTGATCACCGACAATGATGAGAAAGCCTATAGGGAGGAGGTCAGAGATCTGGCCGTGTGGTGTCAGGACAACATCCTCTCCCTCAACGTGATCAAGACAAAGGAGATGATTGTGAACTACAGGAAAAAGAAGAGGACCGAGCACGCCCTCATTCTCATTGATGGGGCTGTAGTGGAGCAGGTTGTGAGCTTCAAGTTCCTTGGTGTCCACATCACCAACAAACTAACATGGTCCAAGCACACCAAGACAGTCGTGAAGAGGGCACGACAAAACCTATTCGAGTTGCCCACACCCCCCACCCCTCTTTTACGCTGTTTATTATCTGTGCATAGTCACTTTAATAACTCTACCTACATGTACAGTTGAAGTCAGAAGTTTACATACACCATAGCCAAATACATTTAAACTCAGTTTTTCACAATTCCTGACATTTAATCCTAGTAAGAATTCCCTGTTTTAGGTCAGTTAGGATCACCATTTTATTTTCAGAATGTGAAATGTCAAAATAATAGTAGAGAGAATTTTTTATTTCAGTTTTTATTTCTTTCATCACATTCCCAGTGGGTCATAAGTTTACATACACTCAATTAGTATTTGGTAGCATTGCCTTTAAATTGTTTAACTTGGGTCAAACGTTTCGGGTAGCCTTCCACAAGCTTCCCACAATAAATTGGGTGAATTTTGGCCCATTCCTCCTGACAGAGCTGGTGTAACTGAATCAGGTTTGTAGGCCTCCTTGCTCGCACACACTTTTTCAGTTCTGCCCACAAATGTTCTATAGGATTGAGGTCAGGGCTTTGTGATGGCCACTCCAATACCTTGACTTCATTGCTCTTAAGACATTTTGCCACAACTTTGGAAGTCCCATTTGTGTCACGATCGTTATAAGAGGCAGACCAAGGCGCAGCGTGATAGGCGTACATCTTTTAATGAGTACTTTACACGATCAAACAAAACAACAAAACGATACGTGAAGTCTAAAGGTTCACCAACACAAACCTATACAGAACAAGATCCCACAAATAACTAGTGCCAACAGGCTGCCTAAGTATGGTTCCCAATCAGAGACAACGAGAATCAGCTGCCTCTGTTGGGGAACCACCCTGGCCAACATAGAAAACACGAACTAGAACACAACATAGAAAATCACACATAGAAAATCCACACCCTGGCTCAACATATAAGAGTCCCCAGAGCCAGGGCGTGACATTACCCCCCCCCAAAGGCGCGGACTGCGACCGCGCCAACCAAACCCAACAGGGGAGGGGCCGGGTGGGCATTCCGCCTCGGAGGCGGATCCGGCTCCGGGCGTGACCACCACTCTCTCGCTACCCCCCCGTAGCGCCCCTGGTCTGGTCTGGCCCCACTGGCCGGAGCTGGACTGGACACCGGTGGAGCGGATTGCTCAGGCTCCGGTGTGGAGCAGCTTACCGGTGCCTGAACAGGCACGGGCTGTGCCGGACTGATGACGCGCACCACTGACTTGGTGCGGGGAGCAGGAACAGGCTGGACCGGGCTGACGACGTGCACCACAGGCTTGGTGCGAGGGACAGGGACAGGCCGGGCCGGACTGGCGACGCGCACCCCTGGCCTGGTGCGGGGAGCAGAAACAGGCCGGACCGGGCTGGCAACGCGCACCACAGGCTTGGTGCGGGGAGCAGGAACGGGCCGGACCGGGCTGATGACGCGCACCACAGGCTTGGTGCGGGGAGCAGGAACAGGCCGGACCGGGCTGGCGACGCGCACCACAGGCTTGGTGCGAGGGGCAGGAACAGGCCGGACCTGGCTGGCGACGCACACCACAGGCTTGGTGCGGGGAGCAGGAACAGGCTGGACCGGGCTGACGACGTGCACCACAGGCTTGGTGCGAGGGACAGGGACAGGCCGGGCCGGACTGGCGACGCGCACCCCTGGCCTGGTGCGGGGAGCAGAAACAGGCCGGACCGGGCTGGCAACGCGCACCACAGGCTTGGTGCGAGGGGCAGGAACAGGCCGGACCGGGCTGGCGACGTGCACCACAGGCTTGGTGCGGGGAGCAGGAACAGGCCGGACCGGGCTGGCGACGCACCACAGGCTTGGTGCGGGGAGCAGGAACAGGCCGGACCGGGCTGGCGACGCGCACCACAGGCTTGGTGCGAGGGACAGGAACAGGCCGGACCGTACTGGGAACACACACCACTGGCCTTGTGCGGGGATCAGGAACGGGCCGGACCGGACTGGTAACACACCCCAGTACCTCTCGCCGTGCCTCTACACTCTCCTTCCCCCTCATGACCAATGGCCCCCATAACCTGGTGGCCTCCTCTCCTAGTCCGCAAACTCGCACTGTAGCTGCCTCCAGCAGCCCCGTCGTCCATGCCGTGTGCCCCCCCCCCAAAAACATTATTGGGGTTGCCTCTCGCCTGTCCGACGACGGCCCGGTTGGCGCCGCTTCTCCTCTCCTGCCTGGGCATCCTCCCTCATCGCCCTCCGGTAGCGGACGGCCTCCTCCTCTGTGATTCTCCCCCAACCGAGGAGGACATCTACCAGAGTAACCTCCTGTTCCATACCCGGCGTTTGCTCCTGCACACGCTGCTTGGTCCTATTACGGTGGGATCTTCTGTCACGATCGTTATAAGAGGCAGACCAAGGCGCAGCGTGATAGGCGTACATCTTTTAATGAGTACTTTACACGATCAAACAAAACAACAAAACAACACGTGAAGTCTAAAGGTTCACCAACACAAACCTATACAGAACAAGATCCCACAAATAACTAGTGCCAACAGGCTGCCTAAGTATGGTTCCCAATCAGAGACAACGAGAATCAGCTGCCTCTGTTGGGGAACCACCCTGGCCAACATAGAAAACACGAACTAGAACACAACATAGAAAATCACACATAGAAAATCCACACCCTGGCTCAACATATAAGAGTCCCCAGAGCCAGGGCGTGACAATTTGTGACCAAGCTTTAACTTCCTGACTGATGTCTTGAGATGTTGCTTCAATATATCCACATAATTTTCCTTCCTCATGATGCCATCTATTTTTGTGAAGTGCACCAGGCCCTCCTGCAGCAAAGCACCCCCACAGCATGATGCTGCCACCTCCGTGCTTCACGGTTGGGATGGTGTTCTTCGGCTTGCAAGCGACCCCCTTTTTCCTCCAAACATAACAATGGTCATTATGGCCAAACAGTTCTATTTTTGTTTCATCCGACCAGAGGACATTTCTCCAAAAAGTACGATCTTTGTCCCCATGTGTAGTTGCAAACCTTAGTCTGGCTTTTTTATGGCGGTTTTGGAGCAGTGGCTTCTTCCTTGCTGAGCGGCTTTTCAGGTTATGTCGATATAGGACTCGTTTTACTGTGGATATAGATACTATTGTACCTGTTTCCTCCAGCATCTTCACAAGGTCCTTTGCTGTTGTTCTGGGATTGATTTGCACTTTTCGCACCAAAGTACGTTCATCTCTCGGAGACAGAACGCGTCTCCTTCCTGAGCGGTATGACGGCTGCGTGGTCCCATGGTGTTTATACTTGCGTACTATTGTTTGTACAGATGAACGTGGTACCTTCAGGCGTTTGGAAATTGCTCCCAAGGATGAACCAGACTTGTGGAGGTCTACAATCTTTTTTCTGAGGTCTTGGCTGATTTCTTTTGATTTTCCCATGATGTCAAGCAAAGAGGCACTGAGTTTGAAGGTAGGCCTTGAAATACATCCACAGGTACACCTCCAATTGACTCAAATGATGTCAATTAGCCTATCAGCAGCTTCTAAAGCCATGACATCATTTTCTGGAATTTTCCAGGCTGTTTAAAGGCACAGTCAACTTAGTGTATGTAAACTTCTGACCCACTGGAATTGTGATACAGTGTATAAGTGAAATAATCTGTCTGTAAACAATTGTTGGAAAAATTACTTGTGTCATGCACAAAGTAGATGTCCTAACCGACTTGCCAAAACTATAGTTTGTTAACAAGACATTTGTGGAGTGGTTGAAAAACGAGATTTAATGACTCCAACCTAAGTGAATGTAAACTTCTGACTTCAACTGTACATATTACCCCAATTACCTCGACTAACCGGTGTCCCCTTACATTGTCTTGTTACCGGTACCCCCTGTATATAGCCTCGCTATTTTTATTTTTACTGCTGCTCTTTAACTATTTGTTACTTTTATTTCATATTATCTATATTGTATTTTTTTGTGATTTTTTTTGTTGGCATTCTTTCTTAAAACTGCATTGTTGGTTAATGGCTTGTAAGTAAGCATTTCACTGTAAGGTCTACACCTGTTGTATTCGGCGCATGTGACAAATACAATTTCATTTGATTTGATTTGATTTTATATTTATCACAACACAACTGATCGGCTAAAACGCATTAAGAAGGAAAGAAATTTCACAAATTAACTTTTAAAAAAGCACACCTGTTAATTGAAATGCATTCCAGGCGATTACCTCATGAAGCTGGTTGAGAGAATGCCAAGAGTGTGCAAAGCTGTCATCAAGGCAAAGGGTGGCTATTTGAAGAATCTCAAATATAAAATATATTTTGATTTGTTTAACACTTTTTTGGTTACTACATGATTCCATATGTGTTGTTTCATAATTTTGATGCCTCACTATTATTCTACAATGTAAAAAATAGTAAAAAAGAAAAAAAGAAAAAAAACTTGAATGAGTAGGTGTGTCCCAACTTTTGACTGGTAGTGTACAGATATGGACGAGCAATGAGTTTGTTTAATAACTGAGGCAAATTTGTAAAATGTGTAAAAAGCTACAAAAACTATTGTCCCCTCAGAATCCCAGACTGCCTATGCAAATAGTGTTCCTGTTTTTAGTGTTCAACCCTAAAAGAAAGGTTTCCGATTTTACTGTGACATTCCATGATTGTTCACACAGACGCCCAACAGTCAGCCTTCTACAACAAGGAGTTTGTACAGAAGGAGGTGAAAGCTACTCTCTCCCAGAAAGCCACTCTGAGCTGTGAAGTGTCCGACGCCAAGACTGAGGTGAAATGGTACAAGGATGGCAAGCTGCTGACTTCCACTGAGACAGTCTCCATGGAGACAAAGGGCAAGAGTCGTCTGTTGGTAGTAGACAAAATTCAGAAGAAGGATGCTGGAGAGTACACCTGTGAGGCTGGAGCAGAGAAGCTGGTCTTTAAAATACATGTTTCAGGTAAGCCAAATATCGATATTCTGACTGTCTATTGTCTGCTTTTGACCAAGGTTGCTGGAGTGGTTGTCTATGTGCCAGTCTTGCAAATCTTGAATGTTTTCCCTCTCAGTCCTTGGAGATGGTTTGGAAAATGTACAACATTTGAATTGCTTCCGCTCTGCTCTTTATCTTAAAAATGTATGGTTGTTTTGTTAGTTTCAATGTTTTTATAATTGAGACTGAAATTGGTGGGTTTATCAGATAAAACATGGTTTGTAGATTTGGGCTTCAAAGTTGTTTCATTGGATGAATTTCATGGCTTCTCAGGACACCTCAATGGTGCGCTGTGTCTGTCTCTGCAATATTAGAGTTGTAGCTGGTTGACTGGCTTTTCTATCAGTCAATCAATCAAATGTATTTATAAAGCCCTTTTTACATCAGCAGTTATTATACAGAAACCCAGCCTAAAACCCCAAACAGCAAGCAATGCAGATGTAGAAGCACGGTGTCTAGCAAAAACTCCCTAGAAAGGCAGGAACCTAGGAAGAAACTTAGAGAGGAACCATGCTCTGAGGGGTGTGCCGGGTGGAGATTATAAGAGTACATGGCCATTAAGCCCAGATCGTTCTTCAAGATGTTCAAACGTTCATAGATGACCAGCAGGGTCAAATAATAATCACAGTGATTGTAGAGGGTGCAACAGGTCAGCACCTCAGGAGTAAATGTCAGTTGGCTTTTCATAGCCGAGTATTCAGAGGTCGAGACAGCAGGTGCGGGAGAGAGAAGGGAGAGAGGAAGAGGGAGAGAGAGAGAAGGAGAGGGAGAGAGAGGGTCGAAAACTGCAGGTCCGGGACAATGTAGCACGTCCGGTGAACAGGTCAGGGTTCCATAGCCACAGGCAAAACAGCAGAAACTGGATCAGCAGCACGACCAGGTGGACTGGGGACTGCCAGGAGTCATCAAGTCAGATAATCCTGAGGCATGGTCCTAGGGCTCAGGTCCTCCGGGAAAAGAGAGAAAGAGAGAGACATATGTCCAGTGTTGAAAAATCCTGTTTTTTGTTTAAACCCTTGTGATGCTACTTTGCCCCTCCATGATTGTTCCCTTAGAAACCCAACAGTCAGCCTTCACCAACAAGGAGTCTGTACAGAAGGAGGTGAAAGCTACTCTCTCCCAGAAAGCCACTCTGAGCTGTGAGGTGTCTGATACCAAGACCGAGGTGAAATGGTACAAGGATGGCAAGCTGCTGACTTCCACTAAGGCAGTCTACATGGAAACGAAGGGCAAGACTCGTCAGCTGGTGATAGAGAAGGTGGAGAAGAAGGATGCTGGAGAGTACACCTGTGAGGTTGGAGCAGAGAAGCTGGTCTATAAGATTCAGGTGACAGGTAAGGAGGATATATCGACTCGCTGTCTTGTCTGCTTTCGGCCTGATTGCTGGAATGGTTGTCTGTGTGATATGCACATTTGACATGATTATCTTAGGAAAAGATAACTGTGATATATTTAGCTGTCCTCTGGGAAGCTTTGGCAAATGTACTGTTGAATTACATTTAGATTTAGTCTCAGTCAAAAACCAATGCCTAATTTGTTGTTTCCATAGTGTTAAAATTGTGATTTTAGGATTAGTTGATTCTATCAGACAAGGGGGTATACAGATGTATGAACTTAATTTGATCACCCTGTTGCAGGACAACTTTCATGCAATGCAAGAAATGTAAAACTTGTAGTGTATTTGACGTTTTAAAAGGCTTCTAAAGTTTGTAATTTCCACTTTGAAATTTCAGACTTGATTTTCCTTTACGAACAATTTAGCAACCCCTACAAATAATTCACATTTACTGTTGCTGCAGGATTATTTTCCTGCTGTAGCAAACTGGCAAAAATCCTACACCTGTATTTGGCACATCAAGGTTGTTTCTTTGCTTGATTTGGCTCTGGTTGTTTTGACTTGTGGCTTGCTATTGTTGCTTATGGGGACGTCTCACTGGTCTCTGTCCCTTTTGCGGCTGTGTGTCTATTCCCATTCTACATTTGAATTGCTAATGGTTGATTTACAGAAGCCCAGGCTGCCTTCACCAACAAGGAGTCTGTACAGATGGAGGTGAAAGCTACTCTCTCCCAGAAAGCCACTCTGAGCTGTGAGGTGTCCGATACCAAGACAGAGGTGAAATGGTACAAGGATGGCAAGCTGCTGACTTCCAGTAAGACAGTCTCCATGGAGACAAAGGGCAAGACTCGTCAGCTGGTGATAGAGAAGGTGGAGAAGAAGGATGGTGGAGAGTACACCTGTGAGGTTGGAGCAGAGAAGCTGGTCTATAAGATTCAGGTGGAAGGTATGGGATGTTTTGTAACTATTGGATTTACTGTCTGTCTATCGTCTGCTATAGGGCTTATAATGGGAGGGATGGTTGTCCATATGCCTGTCCTACAAATATATATCTGATAAAACTTGTGTTTGACAAAGGTTCTTTCATTTGTTGAGTTGTCTTCCCAAGTGTATGTCTCCTACAATCTGTGTTGCTGCTCTAGCTTATATTATGTCTGAATAGTCTGTTTCCATGTTTGTTGCATAGTTCGTTTTTCTCCGTATCATGTTAAAATTGTTGACTCCCGGTGTACGTCTTGTAGTTAATTGTCCCCATGTTTGTACAGGACAGTAAGTGATGTGTCCTGATTTTGGTGTTGATACTGTTTGACCCTAAATTAAATGTTTCTGCCATTGTGCCCCTCCATGACTGTCCCATCAGAAGCACAACAGGCTGCCTTCACCAACAAGGATTCTGTACAGAAAGACGTGAAAGCTACTCTCTCCCAGAAAGCCACTCTGACCTGTGAGGTGATCGATAACAAGACAGAGGTGAAATGGTACAAGGATGGCAAGCTGCTGACTTCCAGTAAGACAGTCTACATGGAGACAAAGGGCAAGACTCGTCAGCTGGTGATAGAGAAGGTGGAGAAGAAGGATGCTGGAGAGTACACCTGTGAGGTGGGAACAGAAAAGCTGGCCTTCAAGATACACGTGACAGGAGGTAAGGAGGAGTTCTTTTTTAGTTACAGTACATGCCCTCTGTGGTGCCATTTAGGCTTTGGTTGCTGGAATGGTTGCCCATTTGTCTGTCCTAAGAATTTGTCTTGTATTCTTCTTATTTGAAGAAGAGATTTACAGTACCTTGGTCTGAGGAGATGTTATGGGACATACACAGTTACATTTTTTGTTCTGTTTTTATCTTACAAACTTACAGCTATTCTGTTATTTTTAAAGTGTAATTGGGACCTTAGAATTTGTCAATTCTATCTTACAAACAGATAGGTTTGGGGAGGTTTTTAATTGGTTGTTTTGATTCCTCACAACAATGTCCTTTTAATATTGTGTATTGTTTGACTGATGTTGCTCATGGGGTTATATAAGTGCTCTGTTTCCCTGTTTGTTTTTCTGGTGTGGAACGTCTCCATACCACATTGGAATTTCGGATGATTGACTTTGCAAGGCTGCTCTATGTCCAATGCCTCCCGTATTTGTCCAGTCTACAGATATGGTTCCTGTTTTGATGTTATATTGAGTGAAAGGATTTTAATTTCCATCATATCCTTCAATGGTTCCTCCTTCAGAAACTCAGGGTGCCTTCTACAACAAGGATTCTGTACAGAAAGTGGTGAAAGCTACTCTTTCCCAGAAAGCCACTCTGAGCTGTGAGGTGTCCGATATCAAGACAGAGGTGAAATGGTACAAGGATGGCAAGCTGATGACTTCCAGTAAGACAGTCTCCATGGAGACAAAGGGCAAGACTCGTCAGCTGGTGATAGAGAAGGTGGAGAAGAAGGATGCTGGAGAGTACACCTGTGAGGTGGGAGCAGAGAAGCTGGTCTATAAGATTCAGGTGGCAGGTATGGGATGTTTTGTAACTATTAGATTTACTGTCTGTCTATCGTCTGCTATAGGGCTTATAATGGGAGGGATGGTTGTCCATATGCCTGTCCTACAAATATATATCTGATAAAACTTGTGTTTGACAAAGGTTCTTTCATTTGTTGAGTTGTCTTCCCAAGTGTATGTCTCCTACAATCTGTGTTGCTGCTCTAGCTTATATTATGTCTGAATAGTCTGTTTCCATGTTTGTTGCATAGTTCGTTTTTCTCCGTATCATGTTAGAATTGTTGACTCCCGGTGGATGTTCTGTAGTTAATTGTCCCCATGTTTGTACAGGACAGTAAGTGATGTGTCCTGATTTTGGTGTTGATACTGTTTGACCCTAAATTAAATGTTTCTGCCATTGTGCCACTCCATGACTGTCCCATCAGAAGCACAACAGGCTGCCTTCACCAACAAGGATTCTGTACAGAAAGACGTGAAAGCTACTCTCTCCCAGAAAGCCACTCTGACCTGTGAGGTGTCCGATACCAAGACGGAGGTGAAATGGTACAAGGATGGCAAGCTGCTGACTTCCAGTAAGACAGTCTACATGGAGACAAAGGGCAAGACTCGTCAGCTGGTGATAGAGAAGGTGGAGAAGAAGGATGCTGGAGAGTACACCTGTGAGGTGGGAACAGAAAAGCTGGCCTTCAAGATACACGTGACAGGAGGTAAGGAGGAGTTCTTTTTTAGTTACAGTACATGCCCTCTGTGGTGCCATTTAGGCTTTGGTTGCTGGAATGGTTGCCCATTTGTCTGTCCTAAGAATTTTTATTGTATTCTTCTTATTTGAAGAAGAGATTTACAGTACCTTGGTCTGAGGAGATGTTATGGGACATACACAGTTACATTTTTTGTTCTGTTTTTATCTTACAAACTTACAGCTATTCTGTTATTTTTAAAGTGTAATTGGGACCTTAGAATTTGTCAATTCTATCTTACAATCAGATAGGTTTGGGGAGGTTTTTAATTGGTTGTTTTGATTCCTCACAACAATGTCCTTTTAATACTGTGTATTGTTTGACTGATGTTGCTCATGGGGTTATATAAGTGCTCTGTTTCCCTGTTTGTTTTTCTGGTGTGGAACGTCTCCATACCACATTGGAATTTCGGATGATTGACTTTGCAAGGCTGCTCTATGTCCAATGCCTCCCGTATTTGTCCAGTCTACAGATATGGTTCCTGTTTTGATGTTATATTGAGTGAAAGGATTTTAATTTCCATCATATCCTTCAATGGTTCCTCCTTCAGAAACTCAGGGTGCCTTCTACAACAAGGATTCTGTACAGAAAGTGGTGAAAGCTACTCTTTCCCAGAAAGCCACTCTGAGCTGTGAGGTGTCCGATACCAAGACAGAGGTGAAATGGTACAAGGATGGCAAGCTGCTGACTTCCAGTAAGACAGTCTCCATGGAGACAAAGGGCAAGATTCGTCAGCTGGTGATAGAGAAGGTGGAGAAGAAGGATGCTGGAGAGTACACCTGTGAGGTTGGAGTGGAGAAGCTGGTCTATAAGATTCAGGTGGCAGGTATGGGACGATATGAAAGGTGGTTGTCTATATTGATGTCTCTCTCAAGGCTTTGGATGCTGAATTGTCAAAATAATTGTGATGAGGTGATTTTGAAGGAGTCAGGCGCAGGAGGGTAAATCACAGAATAACAGGATTTATTCTGAACCACAGAGTTACGGAGTAATGCGTAAAAACACTCAAAACAGGCGCACTGGAAAATACAAGGCACACAGGGAATATTCCCGGCGATACAAAGTACACGGAGCTCCACCGAGCTCCTCTCTCCTCCACAATAAACAATCACACACAAAGACAAGGGGGCAGAGGGAACACTTATACATGTACTGATGAGGGGATATGAACCAGGTGTGTGTAATAACAAGACAAAACAAATGGAATGATGACATGAGGAGCGGCAGTGGCTAGAAGGCCGGTGATGACGAACGCCGAAGCCTGCCCAAACAAGGAGAGGAGGCAGCCTTGGAGGAAGTCGTGTCAAGAATATGTTTTGTATACTCAAGCCGATGTTCTCTGAATGTATTGCCTGTTTTTGTTGTTGTAGATTTCTGTCTATATTTGTGTCTATCTAAAACTATATTTGAATAGCTGGTTATTGACTTGTTTTGCTCAACGCCTCCCAGTCCGATGTCTATCCCATGTAGAGATGTGGTTCCTGTTTCTTTTGTGTTCCACCCTAAATGAAGGGTTTCTAATACTACTGTGCCATTTCATGATTTCTCCTTCAGAGACTCAAGCTGCCTTCTCCAACAAGGATTCTGTACAGAAAGACGTGAAAGCTACTCTCTCTCAGAAAGCCACTCTGACCTGTGAGGTGATCGATAACAAGACGGAGGTGAAATGGTACAAGGATGGCAAGCTGCTGACTTCCAGTAAGACAGTCTCCATGGAGACAAAGGGCAAGACTCGTCAGCTGGTGATAGAGAAGGTGGAGAAGAAGGATGCTGGAGAGTACACCTGTGAGGTGGGAGCGGAGAAGTTGGCCTTCAAGATAGAGGTGGCAGGTAGGATGTCATTGACTTTCAACAATATTTGTCTTTGCTATCACCTCTATATTAACAAGTCTTATTTTTTGTCTCTAGAATCCTCTGCCAAGTTTAAAAAGACTGCAGTGAAGGATACATGCAATGTTCAAGCAAGTGAAAAGATTGTTTTGACCACTGAGTTGACTTTGGAGAGTGCCAGTGTTAAGTGGTTCAGGGACGGAGTGGAGTTGAAGGAGGGCTCTAAGTATGACATGAAGAGAGAGGGACATTCTCGTACCCTGATTGTGAAGTCCACTGAACTCAAAGACAGTGGGAACTACTCTTGCCACACTGCTGACGACAAGATTGAGTTCAAAGTTCAAGTCAAAGGTTAGTTTGCTATTCATTCATCAGAACAATTGATTGACGGGCTAGTGTTGTATGTTTCTGTGAGTATAGTCAATGCCTATGAAGATCATACATATTCCATTTAGCTAATGAAATGCTGGCCATGTTTCCCTTCAGATTCATCACTGAAGTTTGTAGTGCAGTTGCAGCCTGTAGCCACAGAGCTGGGTGGTACCCTGACCCTGACCTGTGAACTGAACCGAGCCTTAGGGGACGTGCTCTGGCGCCACAACAGCTGTGAGGTCAAACCTGGCGGCAGGTTCTGTGTCAGCACTGATGGTCCCAAGCGGGTCCTTACTGTGACAGGAATGGCAAAAGAGGATGAGGGAGAGTACAGCTGTGAATGCAAAGATGATAAGACCTCTGCCAAGGTCTCCACCAAAGGTAGCTGAGGCTTTGCTTTCATTAGATTTACAACTTGGTCACTGACTACTACAATATGAACTGTAGTTACAGACATATCAAATCAAATGTTATTTGCCACATGCGCCGAATACAACAGGTGTAGACCTTACAGTGAAATGCTTACTTACAAGCCCTTAACCAACTATGCAGTTTTAAGAAAGAATACCCCAAAAAAACACACAAAAAAATACAATATAAAATAATACGAAATAAAAGTAACAAATAATTAAAGAGCAGCAGTAAAAATAACAATAGCGAGGCTATATACAGGGGGTAACGGTACTGAGTCAATGTGCGGGGGCACCGGTTAGTCGAGGTAATTTAGGTAATATACAATATACTGTATACAGTAGTTACAGACATATAGTCAAACGCACTAGATATTAAGCCATGTATTTTCATATTAACTAATTTTCTCTGTGCCTGAGTCTAATTATGTCTCCAAATAATCTATTCCATTCTGTCCTTTTCAGCACCCAGACTGGTGAAGCTGACTTCCAAGCTGAGCAACGTCGCTGCTGTGGAGGGGAAGGAGGCCATCTTCAAGTGTAGTGTCACCCCAGCTGACGTCAAAGTAAAATGGTTCTGCAACAACGTGCCCATCACTGCTGGGCCCAAATATAAGATTGAGCATGGGGGCACCAGCCACTCCCTCACCATCACCTCAGTCAGTCAGGAGGATGCTCAAGAGATCAGCATGGATGCAGAGGGCAAAACCTGCAGTGCTACCCTCCAAGTGCAACGTAAGAACCAACCTCCATTCGCTTTAAAGGTGCGCTATGCAGAAATAGCTCTGCCATTTCCTGGTTGCAAAAATTATAATAGTTCGCCTAATTTCAGTTTATGTGACAAAACAAGCAACTATGGTGTACCAGCATGTTAAATGTGCAACCAGAGGGAAAAAAAAACTCTAGACCACCTTTACTCCACACACAGAGACTCGTACAAAGCTCTCCCTCGCCCTCCATTTGGCAAATTGAGTGCAATCTTAACAGCTTCTACCCCCAAGCCATAAGACTCCTGAACAGCTAATCATGGCTTCCCAGACCCCCTCTTTTACGCTGCTGCTTCTCTGTTATTATCTATGCATAGTCACTTTAACTCTACCCACATGTACATATTACCTCAATTACCTTGACTAACCGGTGCCCAGCACATTGACTCTGTACCGGTACCCCCTGTATATAGCCTCCCTACTGTTATTTTATTTTAATTTTAATTATTTGCTATTTTAATTTCTTTACTTATCTATTTTTTTACTGAACACTTTTTTTTATTTTCTTAAAACTGCATTGTTGGTTAAGGGCTTGTAAGTAAGCATTTCACTGTAAGGTCTACACCTGTTGTATTCGGCGCATGTGGCAAATAAAATGTGATTTGAATCATTGTACCATCTAAACCGCTGTGAAATATATTTTCCATAACCAAAAATATTGTATTTTCAACTGTTTGAAGCTTGTGTACAAAAGACGCAAAAGCAAAACTTAAGAACAAGAAGCATAGAAATAGAATGGATGTACCGCTTCTTAGACTTGCTTTCAATGAGAATGATAGATCTATAAACGCAAATTTCTATGTGAATTTGGTCAGGTGCCCAAAAAGTTAAATTGCAGCTTTAACACTTATGTTATAAAAATAAGCACATTTCCCATCGATATACTTATTTTCTGTATAATCCTCTGATTGTTTTGATTGATATACAATTACAGCCATTGTTTACAAAAATGTAGAAGCCTTCTAAGCAATTTAGCTTAGAAGGGCTACAGTTTTCAGAAAGGAGTGGTAATATCTGTGTTTTCTTTGTGCCCTGACAGTGGAGCCGGTGATGTTCAAGAAGAAGCTGGAGAATGTGACAGTGGTGGAGGATCAGAAGGAGGTGAAGCTGGAAGTAGAGCTGAGTAAGCCCTCAAAAGAGGTCAGGTGGATGAAGAACAGTGTGGTGCTACAGCCTGGAGGCAACATGGAGATCAAGATGGACGGAGCCAAGCAGACCCTGGTCTTTAAGAGTGTGACTACGGCCGATCGTGGCTTCTACTCCTGTGAGACCCTGGACGACAAGACCCAGGCCAAACTCGCAGTGGATGGTAAGTAAGAATGGTGTCCTATTTACAGCTGCTGTAGTTTTATGGTTATGTACAGTGCCTTCAGAAAGTATTCACACCCCTTGACTTTTTCCAAATGTTTGTTGTGTTACAGCCTGAATTTTAAATGTATTACATTTTGGTCACTGGCCTACACACAATACCCTAAATGTCAAACAATGTTCATTTTTTTTTTTTTTACAAATTAATAAAAAATGAAAAGCTGGAATGTCTTGAGTCAAAAAGTATTCAATCCCTTTGTTATGGCAAGCCTAAATAAGTTCAGGAGTAAAAATGTGCTTAACAAATCACATAATAAGTTGCATGGACTACGTCATCTCTGTACCTCACACATACAGTACAATTACCTGTATGGTCCCTCAGTCAAACAGTGAATTTCAAACACAGATTCAACCACAAAGACCAGGGAGGTTCTCCAATGCTTCACAAAGGGCACCTATTGGTAGATGTGTGTGTAAAAAAAAAATAAACAGACATTGAATATCCATTTGAGCATGGTAAAGTTATTAATTACACTTTGGATGGTGTATCAATACACCCGGTCACTACAAAGATACAGCCGTCCTTCCTAACTCAGTTACCGGAGAGGAAGGAAACAGCTCAGGGATTTCACCATGAGGTCAGTTAGAGTTTAATGGCTGTGATAGGAAAAAACTGATGATGGATCAACAACATTGTAGTTACTGTACTAATTGACAGAGTGAAAAGAAGGAAGCCTGTACTGAGTAAAAATATTCCAAAATATGCATCCTGTTTGCAACAAGGCACTGTAGTAATAATGCAAAAAATGTGCCAAAGCAATTGACTTTTTGTCCTGAATACAAAGATTTATGTTTGGGGGAAATCCAGAACAACATATTATTGAGTACCACTCTCCATATTTTCAAGCATAGTGGTGGCTGCATCATATGCTTGTAATCGTTAAGGACTGGGGAGTTTTTCAGGATAAAAAATCAACGGAATTGAGCTAAGCACAGGCAAAATCCTAGAAGACCTGGCTGAGTCTGCTTTCCACCAGACACTGGGAGATGAATTCACCTTTCAGCAGGACACAAGGCCTACACTGGAGATGCTTACCAAGAAGACAGAGAATGTTCCTGAGTGGCCGAGTTACAGTTTTGACTTAAATCTGCATGATAATCTATTGCAAGACCTGAAAATGGTTGTCTAGCAATGATCATCAACGAATTTGACAGAGCTTGAAGAATTTTGAAAATAATAATGGCCAAATGGGGGGGGGGGAGGGGTCTCTCTAATGAGGGCCTAATAATAAAGGGCCTAATAATAAATACATAATATTTTTTTTATTACTTTTAATGTGGCATGAACACAACCAGTCATTAAATTTTCATCTGATTGTCAAACAAATCACTTCAAAAAGTAGACATGTTCATCCACTCCAAAACAATTCCAGCATAAGGTCATCCAGTAAAGAAAACTAATATTGATAGAAAGTAATAAAGCTAAATAAATGGTCTACTACTTCTTGCCACGTATGGCACGGAAAACACCTGTACCCGCACGCACCTCAAAAACAAAGCAATGAGCGCTCTGAACAGCTGACTGACAAAAGCAAACATTGATATATCAACGGATACAGCTAATGCATTGGAATGAAGGTATAGGCAATTTTTTATCAAGGACGCATGGCAAACAAATGCGAAAAATGATGACGTACAAAGGAAAATCTATGCGTAAAGGTGTTCAGCTGAGACCGACAGCGCTGCCACATAGAAATAAATGGTTTAAACCATGACAGAGAGGTGGGGGTGTTTGTTTAATTGGAAGATTTTATTTTCATATTTACCACTGTAAAACATACTGTATTTACCACTGCATTTTAAAGAAATAGGATAATGGTTAAATTAGCATTATTTAGAGACCCCCCCCAACCATCCCCCCCCCCCCCCCCCCAAAGTCTGACTTTTGTTGCATTTAGGGGAGCTAACGTCTCATTCAGGGCTCCCCCATAATTCACACCATGTGTGGAACGCTCTTAGAGACTTACCTAGAAAGACTCACAGCTGTAACCACTGCCAAATATGATTCTAACATCACCGGACGTGCTACATTGTCATGCTGCTGCTCCAGTTTCAACTGTTCTGCCTGCGGCTATGGAACCCTGACCTGTTCACCGGACGTGCTACCTTGTCCCAGACCTGCTGTTTTCGACCCTCTCTCTCCCTCTCTCTAGCTCTCCCTTCCCCTCTCTCTCCCTCTCTACCGCACCTGCTGTCTCGACCCCTGAATGCTTGGCTATGAAAATCTAACTGACATTCACTCCTGAGGTGCTGACCTGTTGCACCCGCTACAACCACTGTGATTATTGTTTGACCCTGCTGGTCATCTATGAACGTTTGAACATCTTGAAGAACGATCTGGCCTTAATGGCCATGTACTCTTATAATCTCCACCCGGCACAGCCATAAGAGGACTGGTCACCCCTCAGAGCCTGCTTCCTCTCTAGGTTTCTTCCTAGGTTCCTGCCTTTCTAGTTTTTCCTAGCCACCGTGCTTCTACATCTGCATTGCTTGCTTTTTGGGGTTTTAGGCTGGGTTTCTGTAAAAGCTCTTTGTGACATCTGCTGTTGTAAAAAGGGCTTTATAAATACATTTGATTGATTAACATGTATTGACTCTGGGGGTTGAATACTTATCTAATCATTATTATTATATTTTTACAAATGTTATAATTTTTCTTCCACTTTGACATTACATAGTATTTTGTGTAGATTGTTGACAATTAAATCAATTTTAATCCCACAACAAAATGTGGAGAAAGTCAAGGGGCGTGAATACTTCCTGATGGCACTGTATACAGTAAATAGCCCCTATTTAGTATAGTAAGCCACAGACAGTATTCTCTAATAATAATAATATGCCATTTAGCATATAGGTGGTCCCGGGGATCGAACCCACTACCCTGGCGTTACAAGCACCATGCTCTACCAATTGAGCTACAGAGGACCACAGAGGACCTCTAATATTACATGCAGTTTGATAGAACAGTTGATCCCCACACAGATACTCAGACTACTTATATCTACAGTTTCAGTGCCATGAAGAGATGCACAGGACACTTACTGATGATGCTGTATAATCTATAATGTTATGCATATTCCAACACACCTAAACATTCCCTCTGTCTGTATTTCACAGTGAAGAAGATTGAGGTGGTGAAGGACCTGCTGCCGGAGGTCAAGGCCCATGAGAAGGAGACAGTGACCCTTGAGGTGGAGCTCAGCCAGGCTGACGTGGAGGGCTCCTGGACCAGGGACAGGGTCAAGTTCAAGGCAGGGTCCAACTGCCGCATCACAGCCCTGGGAAAGAAACACGCCCTGACACTATCCCAAATCAAGATGGAGGACGCAGGAACTATTGCCTTCCAAGCAGAGGGGGTCAAAACTTCTGCCAAGCTCATTGTTACAGGTAGGTTATATCCATTTTCGACGAACAGTAAACCATTAATCGAGTTGAGTGCTAACTGAGGTGGCACCTGTTATTTGAATGTTGTGCTTATTGGTGTTGTGGTTCTTATAGAACCTGCTGCTATGATCTCTAAACTCATGGAGGATGTCAAAGCCCCAGAGAAGGAGAAGGCTACGCTTGAGTGTGAGGTGTCCAGAGCTAATGCTGAGGTCAAGTGGTTCAAGGTGAGAAAACATATTCCAGTAAATCATAGAACTCTAGACGAATATCCAGTCATGAAAAGCGAGAAAGTGTTCAATGTCAGCAATTTGCTTTGTCATAATTGTGTATACAAAGTGAATAAATCATTTTTACTAAAAGACCACTGTTCCTTAGGGTGACATGGAACTAAAACCAGGAAAGAACTTTCGCATCTACTCCCAGGGCTGCAAACGAAGCCTGCTAATCCACAAATGTTCCCAAGAGGATGAGGGCACATATGTCTGCCAAACGTCTGATGACAACACATCAGCTAAACTCACTGTTCATGGTATGAGTCCCCACATGTTATTCATATGATACAATACACTCTATATTATGCAATCCAATGATACTGATTGTGTAGTAAAATCCATTGATTTTATAGGCTTGTCAATGATAGTTGTACAGTACTTTGTTGTACAGGTAGTTAAAAATAGTGCATGTCTCACTTTAATAATAACAGACCTCCTTCTAACCAGAGGGGGGGGGGGGAATGGGCAATGCAAATAGTCCGGGTAGCCATGATTAGCTGTTCAGGAGTCTTATGGCTTGGGGGTAGAAGCTGTTAAGAAGCCTTTTGGACCTAGACTTGGCATTCCGGTACCGCTTGCCATGCGGTAGCAGAGAGAAGAGTCTATGACTAGGGTGACTGGAGTCTTTGACACATTTATTTTACTGTAGTCCACAATCATCTCCTTTGTCTTGATTCCATTGAGAGAGAGGTTGTTTTCCTGGCACTACACGGCCAGGTCTCTGACCTCCTCCCTATAGGCTGTCTCATCATTGTTGGTGATCAGGCCTACAACTGTTGTGTCGTCGGAAAACTTAATGATGGTGTTGGAGTCGTGCCTGGCCTTGCAGTCATGGGTGAACAGGGAGTACAGGAGGGGACTGAGCACGCACCCCTGAAGGGCCCCCGTGTTGAGGATCAGGGTGGCAGATGTGTTGTTACTTACCCTTACCACCTGGTGGCGGCCCGTCAGGAATTCCAGGATGTAGTTGCAGAGGTAGGTGTTTAGTCCCAGGGTCCTTAGCTTAGTGATGAGCTTTGAGGGCACTATGGTGTTGAATGCTGAGCTGTAGTCAATGAATAGCATTCTCATGTAGGTGTTCCTCTTGTTCAGGTGGGAAAGGGCAGTGTGGAGTGCAATAGAGATTGCATCATCTGTGGATATGTTGGGGCGGTATGCAAATTGGAGTGGGTCTAGGGTTTCTGGGATAATGGTGTTGATGTGAGCCATGACCAGCCTTTCAAGGCACTTCATGGCTACAGATGTGAGTGCTACGGGTCGGTAGTCATTTAGGCAGGTTATCTTAGTGTTCTTGCGCACAGGGACTATGGTGGTCTGCTTGAAACATGTTGGTATTACAGACTCAGTCAGGGACATGTTGAAAATGTCATTGAAGACACTTGCCAGTTGGTCAGCGCATGCTCGGAGTACACGTCCTGGTAATCCATCTGGCCCTGCGGCCTTGTGAATGTTGACCTGCTTAAAAGTCTTACGGCATTGAGGCTTTTTCTACAAATGTGTTATGAGTTGGAGAACACATTGACAGGGATCTTAGACCATTCCTCCATATAGAATCCTTCCAGATCCTTGATATCCTTAGTCTGTGCTATTGGACTGCCCTCTTCAATTCAAACCACTGGTTTTTGTATGGGTTGCAAAATGCTAATATTCAGTCTCCGGACTTTAAACCCATTGAAAACCTGTGGTTTTAATTGAAGAGGGCAGTTCATAAGCGCAAAATAAAGATATCAAGGATCTCGAAGGATTCTGTATGTAGGAATGGTCTACAATCCCTTACAATTGAGAAATCATGTGACTAAACTGAATACAAAGAAGAAGAAACTATACTATGAAACAAAGATGAATGATAGTAAAAAGCTTTGGAACGCCTTAAATGAAATTTTGGCCAAAAGGCAAACTCCGCTCCATCATTCATTGAATCAGATGCGCTCTTCATCCAAAACCATCTGACATTGCCAATCCTACTTTAATGATTTTTTCATTGGCAAGATTAGCAAAATTTAGGCATGGCACTCCAGCCAACAAACGCCGACAAACGACATCCAAGCTATAACCGACACAAATTATGCAATTCGTTAAAGGATGTGGCAAGAGGTGAAAAAATTATTCTTCTCAAAGACACAGCCCCCGAGCGCTCTGACAACATTGGATGGAAAATTACTGAGATCATAGCGGACTTATTGCCACTCCTATTGCCATATTTCCTAAGCCTCCCCCAGCCTAAGGATGAACAGCTTACCCATGAACGCTCCTTTACGCCCTTGTAAGATTTTGCGAGATTTAACCAACATGTACATATTACCTCAACTAGCGGTGACCCGCACTTGACTATGCAACGGTACCCCCCTGTTATATAGCCTCCCTACTGTCACTTCATTCTATTGTATATATAGCCTCCCTACTGTCACTTTATTTTTTACTTCTGCTCTTTTTTTTTTCTCAACACTTTTTTGTTGTTGTTTTATTCTTACTTTTTTTTGTTTAAAATAAATGCACTGTTGGTTAAGGGCTGTAAGTAAGCATTTCACTGTAATGTCTGCACCTGTTGTATTCGGCGCATGTGACCAATAAAATTTGATTTGATTTGATTTGATTTGATTGGTCACCCCTCAGAGCCTGCTTCCTCTCTAGGTTTCTTCCTAGGTTCCTGCCTTTCTAGTTTTTCCTAGCCACCGTGCTTCTACATCTGCATTGCTTGCTTTTTGGGGTTTTAGGCTGGGTTTCTGTAAAAGCTCTTTGTGACATCTGCTGTTGTAAAAAGGGCTTTATAAATACATTTGATTGATTAACATGTATTGACTCTGGGTGTTGAATACTTATCTAATCATTAATTATTATTTTTTTTTACAAATGTTATAATTTTTCTTCCACTTTGACATTACATAGTATTTTGTGTAGATTGTTGACAATTAAATCAATTTTAATCCCACAACAAAATGTGGAAAAAGTCAAGGGGCGTGAATACTTCCTGATGGCACTGTATACAGTAAATAGCCACTATTTAGTATAGTAAGCCACAGACAGTATTCTCTAATAATAATAATATGCCATTTAGCATATAGGTGGTCCCGGGGATCGAACCCACTACCCTGGCGTTACAAGCGCCATGCTCTACCAATTGAGCTACAGAGGACCACAGAGGACCTCTAATATTACATGCAGTTTGATAGAACAGTTGATCCCCACACAGATACTCAGACTACTTATATCTACAGTTTCAGTGCCATGAAGAGATGCACAGGACACTTACTGATGATGCTGTATAATCTATAATTTTATGCATATTCCAACACACCTAAACATTCCCTCTGTCTGTATTTCACAGTGAAGAAGATTGAGGTGGTGAAGGACCTGCTGCCGGAGGTCAAGGCCCATGAGAAGGAGACAGTGACCCTTGAGGTGGAACTCAGCCAGGCTGACGTGGAGGGCTCCTGGACCAGGGACAGGGTCAAGTTCAAGGCAGGGTCCAACTGCCGCATCACAGCCCTGGGAAAGAAACACGCCCTCACACTATCCCAAATCAAGATGGAGGACGCAGGAACGATTGCCTTCCAAGCAGAGGGGGTCAAAACTTCTGCCAAGCTCATTGTTACAGGTAGGTTATATCCATTTTCGACGAACAGTAAACCATTCATCGAGTTGAGTGCTAACTGAGGTGGCACCTGTTATTTGAATGTTGTGCTTATTGGTGTTGTGGTTCTTATAGAACCTGCTGCTATGATCTCTAAACTCATGGAGGATGTCAAAGCCCCAGAGAAGGAGAAGGCTACGCTTGAGTGTGAGGTGTCCAGAGCTAATGCTGAGGTCAAGTGGTTCAAGGTGAGAAAACATATTCCAGTAAATCATAGAACTCTAGACGAATATCCAGTCATTGAAAAAAGCGGAAGAAGGAAAGTGTTCAATGTCAGCAATTTGCTTTGTTCATAATTGTGTGATACAAAGTGAATAATCATTTTTACTAAAAGGACCACTGTTCCTTAGGGTGACATGGAAACTAAAACCAGGAAAGAACTTTCGCATCTACTCCCAGGGCTGCCAACGAAGCCTGGCTAATCCACCAAATGTTCCCAAGAGGATGAGGGCACATATGTCTGCCAAACGTCTGATGACAACACATCAGCTAAACTCCACTGTTCATGGTATGAGTCACCCACATGTGTAGTCATATGATACAATACACTCTATATTTATGCAATCCACTGATACTGATTGTGTAGTAAGTAAAATCCATTGATTTTATAGGGCTTGGTCGAATGATAGTTGTACAGTACTTTGTTGTCACAGGTAGTTAAAAATAGTGCATTGTCTCACTTTAATAATTAACCGACCTCCCTTCTAACCAGAGGGGGGGGGGGGAATGGGCAATGCAAATATCCGGGTAGCCATGATTAGATGTTCAGGAGTCTTATGGCTTGGGGGTAGAAGCTGTTAAGAAGCCTTTTGGACCTAGACTTGGCATTCCGGTACCGCTTGCCGTGCGGTAGCAGAGAGAAGAGTCTATGACTAGGGTGACTGGAGTCTTTGACACATTTCTTTTACTGTATTCCACGATCAGCTCCTTTGTCTTGATTCCATTGAGAGAGAGGTTGTTTTCCTGGCACTACACGGCCAGGTCTCTGACCTCCTCCCTATAGGCTGTCTCATCATTGTTGGTGATCAGGCCTACAACTGTTGTGTCGTCGGAAAACTTAATGATGGTGTTGGAGTCGTGCCTGGCCTTGCAGTCATGGGTGAACAGGGAGTACAGGAGGGGACTGAGCACGCACCTCTGAAGGGCCCCCGTGTTGAGGATCAGCGTGGCAGATGTGTTGTTACTTACCCTTACCACCTGGTGGCGGCCCGTCAGGAAGTCCAGGATGTAGTTGCAGAGGGAGGTGTTTAGTCCCAGGGTCCTTAGCTTAGTGATGAGCTTTGAGGGCACTATGGTGTTGAATGCTGAGCTGTAGTCAATGAATAGCATTCTCATGTAGGTGTTCCTCTTGTTCAGGTGGGAAAGGGCAGTGTGGAGTGCAATAGAGATTGCATCATCTGTGGATATGTTGGGGCGGTATGCAAATTGGAGTGGGTCTAGGGTTTCTGGGATAATGGTGTTGATGTGATCCATGACCAGCCTTTCAAGGCACTTCGTGGCTACAGATGTGAGTGCTACGGGTTGGTAGTCATTTAGGAAGGTTATCTTAGTGTTCTTGCGCACAGGGACTATGGTGGTCTGCTTGAAACATGTTGGTATTACAGACTCAGTCAGGGACATGTTGAAAATGTCATTGAAGACACTTGCCAGTTGGTCAGCGCATGCTCGGAGTACACGTCCTGGTAATCCATCTGGCCCTGCGGCCTTGTGAATGTTGACCTGCTTAAAAGTCTTACGGCATTGAGGCTTTTTCTACAAATGTGTTATGAGTTGGAGAACACATTGACAGGGATCTTAGACCATTCCTCCATATAGAATCCTTCCAGATCCTTGATATCCTTAGTCTGCGCTATTGGACTGCCCTCTTCAATTCAAACCACAGGTTTTTGTATGGGTTGCAAAATGCTAATATTCAGTCTCCGGACTTTAAACCCATTGAAAACCTGTGGTTTTAATTGAAGAGGGCAGTTCATAAGCGCAAAATAAAGATATCAAGGATCTCGAAGGATTCTGTATGTAGGAATGGTCTACAATCCATTACAATTGAGAAATCATGTGACTAAACTGAATACAAAGAAGAAGAAACTATACTATGAAACAAAGATGAATGATAGTAAAAAGCTTTGGAACGCCTTAAATGAAATGTTGGCCAAAAGGCAAACTCCGCTCCATCATTCATTGAATCAGATGGCTCATTCATCACAAAACCATCTGACATTGCCAATTACTTTAATTATTTTTTTATTGGCAAGATTAGCAAACTTAGGCATGGCATGCCAGCAACAAACGCCTGACACTACACATCCAAGTATAACTGACCAAATTATGAATTCTGTAAAAGTGAGTGTGGAAGAGGTGAAAAAATTATTGTCTATCAACAATGACAAGCCACCGAGGTCTGACAACTTGGATGGAAAATTACTGAGGATCATAGCGGACGTTATTGCCACTCCTATTTGCCATATCTTCAATCTAAGCCTACTAGAAAGTGTGTGCCCTCAGGCCTGGAGGGATGCAAAAGTCATTCCGCTACCCAAGAATAGCGACCAATCAGCCTGTTACCAACCCTTAGTAAGCTTTTGGAAAAAATGGTGTTTGACCAGATACAATGCTATTTTACAGTAAACAAATTGACAACATACTTTCAGCACGCTTATAGGGAAGGACGTCCAACAAGCACAGCACTTACACAATTAACAAATTACTGATGATTGGTTGAGAGAAATTGGTGATAAAATGATTGTGGGAGGTGTTTTGTTAGACTTCAGTGCAGCTTTTGACATTATCGATCATAGCCTGCTGCTGGAAAAACGTATGTGTTATGGATTTACATCCCCTGCTATATTGTGGATAAAGAGTTACCTGTCTAACAGAACACAGAGGGTGTTCTTTAATGGAAGCCTCTCCAACATAATCCAGGTAGAATCAGGAATTCCCCAGGGCAGCTGTCTAGGCCCCTTACTTTTTTCAATTTTTATTATGCGGATGACTCAACACTATACACGTCAGCTACTACAGCGACTGAAATTACAGCTGCAGTTAGTTTCAGAATGGGTGGCAAGGAATAAGTATGGAATAAATATTTCAAAAACTAAAAGCATTGTATTTGGGACAAATCATTCACTAAACCCTAAAACTCAACTAAATCTTGTAATGAATAATGTGGAAATTGAGCAAGGTGAGGTGACTAAACTGCTTGGAGTAACCCTGGATTGTAAACTGTCATGGTCAAAACATATTGGTACAACAATAGCTAAGATGGGGAGAAGTCTGTCCATAATAAAGCGCTGCTCTGCCTTCTTAACAACACTATCAACAAGGCAGGTCCTATAGGCCATAGTTTTGTCGCACCTGGACTACTGTTCAGTTGTGTGGTCAGGTGCCACAAAGAGGGACAGGAAAATTACAATTGGCTCAGAACAAGGCAGCACGGCTGGCCCTAAGATGTACATGGAGAGCTAACATTAATAATATGCATATCAATCTCTCATGGCTCAAAGTGGAGGAGAGATTAACTTTGTCTCTACTTGTTTTTGTAATAAGTGTTGACAAGCTGATTGCACCGAGCTATCTGTTTAAACTACTAGCACACAGCTCGGACACCCATGTATACCCCACAAGACATGTCAACAGAGATCTCTTCACAATCCTCAAGTCCAGAACAGACTATGGGAGGCACATAGTACTACATAGAACTCTATTCCACATCAGGTAACTGATGCAAGCAGTAGTATCAGATTAAAAAACAGATACAAATACACCTTATGGAACAGCGGAAACTGTGAAGAGACACACACAGGTACAGACACACGCATACGCACACACAAGCTAGCACACTCACTCTACACACACGTACATTGTAATATTGGTGTATGGTGGTATTTTACATTTTGTATTGTAGATATTTAGTGGTGAAATAATGTTATATGATGTATTGTTTTATCTTTTGTTTGATGTGTGATGTAAGTACCTTAATGTGTTTGGACAGCAGCTAATGGGGATCCCTAATAAATACAAATACAATGTGTTCTTCAACTCATAAAAAGGCTCAGTGCTGTTATCCTTGCAAGGTGAGGTATTGAAAGGAATTGAAAACAGGGATGTCAATAATTTTGACCCCTACATTTTTGCGAAAACAAATATTTTACTTGTTAAACAAAATCTCTTTGTCTGAGTAATTGTATTAGTATAAAATAATATAATCTCCCAATTTTCTTCAGCCTACAATATAGCGCATTATTTGAATTATTTATTTTATACAGTCATTTCTGCTCATCTTTAACAAGGGTGTCAATCATTTCAGACCCCACTGTACATAGCTATAAATCAATGTAAAAGAACAGGCCATATTCCATTCAGCATTAGATGTGTTGAAGACTTTCTAATGTCTCTTTTTATTGTCTCTTGTGCTTCTCGCTCCACAGCCCGAGACATTAAGATAGTGAAGAAGCTTGAGGACGTGGAGGTGATGGAGAAGGAGAGCGCTTCGTTCTTCTGTGAGATCTCTCATGATGAAGTGGACTGCCAGTGGTTCAAAGGCGACACCAAACTCAAAGTCGGTGACAACATCAAGATGAGACAAGAGGGTGAGGAGAATACACACATTTGCCATACTTTCCAAATATATGTTTAAATGTCAATTTTAGTAATACACAGGTTTTGAATTATTATCAATGATCAATTAGGGCTAATTTACTATTTCATTGTTTTAACATTCAGTACTGTTCTTATAAGTTGCCTTCTTTCAATTAAAGGTAAAATCTATGTGCTGCTGTTTAAGTCGGTGACACTAGAAGACATGGCTGAGATTAAATTCACAGCTGAAAAGGCCTCTTCAACAGCCAAACTGACAGTGAAAGGTAAAGAAACAAGTCTATTTCCAGCATGCATTCCCTATAGCATGGTATTTACGGCACGATATGCTATGCACCATAGGATAGAATAACATGTTCAGGTCAGCACATCACAATATACTGTACATAACAAATTCAAAGAATTAACTAGCACTCATTAAACATGCCAATGGTGAATGCAGTTCTATATCCATAACTCCAATCTGAAAAAGATGATGTCAACTGATCCAGTTAGTCAATTGCTCAGGCAGTCAGTCAGTCTGTCCTCTGTGTTGTTTTCCTGAGGTTTATTTTGGTTCAGCAGCCAAACGTCTGTGGGGATGATACTGCATTGGCCTCTTTTAGACTGGAATTTTTGTCTTTTGAATCCCTGGCCAGAAGGCTACATCCTTAACAATTTGTAGAGGTTTCTCCGGGAATCCATGGTGCTGTCTTTCTTTGACGTACGGCTGCTTAACATCCTCTGGAAACCTGAACCACAGAACCCAGATCCTAGGGTGACCTGACCACCCTCGGGAGCTTGCTCTCGTGTTGTTTATGGCGATCCCTCTGTACCAGGCCAGGAATAAGAAGGTCATGCAGTGGCTATCCGAGCCCCTCAGGATGTTGGAGTTGATGGAAGACAGCACATGAGAAATCACTGTTCCTTGGGGGAGCCTGTGGATGTGAATTGCACAGGGAGATGTGGAGTTGTTTTCTTTGGCGTGCTGACCCCTGTTGAGTACTTTCTGTTCCCTGTAGACTGTTAGTTTAGTGCTGTTTACTGCTTTGATGTATGATAGTGTTTTGATATGCTTCTGTGGTACTGCTAAGTATGGCTTCCTTGTATTGATATGGTTGTTATTGTTACTGTAGAGCTCCCTGTCCAGTTTGTGAAGAAGCTCAGGGATAAGTTAGCCTTGCATACACACCGTGGGTTCTTGGAATGCCAAGTGTCCCGGGCCAGCGCCAAGGTCAAGTGGTACAAGAACAAGAAGGAGATCAAGCCCAGCAAGAAGCACGAGATCAGCAGTGAGGGTATATACTGCAAACTCACCATAAACGACGTGTGCTCGGACGATGAGGATACTTACATCTGTGACGCCATCGATGACAAGACATCCTGTAAACTTCTTGTGGAAGGTAACAGGAGGAAAACCAGGACATTGTCTATTGTAAACATGTAAGAATTTTCTATGAAGTGTATTTTTATAAAGTATGATGTGGCTTTATAAAAATACACTTACGAATCTCTTTTAGCACGTATCAATACTTCAGGACACAGGACTACAAGTCAATGAGTGAATGGAAATCGCACTCTTAACAGATCCCTAAAGTGTAATTAAGAGTGATTTTACCTTAAGTATGACCTAAACCCTCTGTATCCGTGGTCCCTCTAGAGCAGGTCATCAGCATCGTACGAGAGCTAAGTGCCGTGGAAGTGACCGAGCCCTTCGCCGCCTTCTTCGAGGTGGAGATCAACATCGACTCAGTCAAGCCCCCCAAGTGGACTCTGAATGGTGTGGCCGTGCAGGAGAGCGATGACGTGGAGATGGAGAAGGAGGGCACCATGCACCGCCTCACCTTCAAGAAGACCAAGGCCTCCATGACGGGACCTGTCCAGTTCATGGCTGGCAAGAGCAAGTCTGTGGCCCAGCTCACTGTCAAAGGTCAGAGGCTTCTCCATACACAGAGCATGGAACCAAATGGTTATGTCAGACTACCATGTTCTCAGTGGGTATAGCTGGTTGAAATGACGTTATTACAACCAGATTAAACCCAGAAGTGGGTTAGGAGCATGCTATATGACTTGCCTATGATCAGAGCTGTTTGTTCTTCTTATTCTCTCAACTACAGAGCGCCCTCTTGAGGTGGTAGAGACCATTAAAGATATGACAGCCAAGGAGAAGGGCTCAGCCACTCTGAGCTGCAAGTTCTCCGCCACACCCAAAGAGGTGAGCTGGTTCAAAGGCCAAACCCTCCTGGCTGCTTCAGACAAGTACAACCTGAAACAGGACGCTGTGCGGGCTCAGCTGACCATCCAGAAGCTGACTGGGGAAGACACTGGGGAGTACCGCTGTCAGTCGGCTGCTGCCGAGACCAAAGCCACTCTCACTGTAGAGGGTACGTTTTGTATCGCTTTTTGGTGTTGATTTGACTTCAATGCTGATTCCTTTGCTGAGCATTGATGGTTCAAATGAGATGTGTGCTGTGGGTTATTGCAGTTCGGAAAGTGGAGATCACCAAACACCTGGTGGACGCAGAGGTGGATGAGGACAGTGATGCAGTGTTCACCTGTGAGATCAACTACACTGATGAGGAGGTGCAATGGCTGCTCAATGAAAAAACACTCTTCTCCAACGAGGTCAACACCATCACACACATGGGCAAAGTGCACACGCTCACACTCAAGAACCTGGCACCTGAGGATGGGGGCACCATCACCTTCAAGGTCAGGGAAATCAAGGAGGCTGTGACCCTAAAAGTCAAAGGTAAGGACTCATGAGCTAATTTGGTCCAAGTGAAAATACTGTAGTGTAGAAGTGGGACTAAAGAATATGTTATACATCTTTGACTGGTGGTTGTGCTCTCCATTTGCATTCCTCCAGAGAAGCGTGCAGTGTTCCTCAAGTCTCTGGATGACGTGGTGGGAGAGGTGAAAGGTATGATCACCCTGGCGTGTGAGGCCTCCAAGCCCAGGGTCTCCCCCACCTGGAGGAAAGATGGTACGATGCTGACCACTGGGTCTAAGTATGAGGTCCTGCACACAGGCAAGTCCCTGGGTCTGATCATCAAGGATGTTAACAAGGAAGATGCAGGGGAGTACAGCTGCGACCTGGGAACTGAGCTTTCCAAGTCAAAGGTCACTGTGAGAGGTGTGTATGATGAAGCTGCATAACTTGCAAACAAATGAGTATAGTGTGCTGAAGCCTCTACAGCAATTGTGTCATCACGTCTTTGAAACAAAAACTCCTCTCTCCACCCTTTATGTAGACCTAAGCATAGGTATCACCAAGCAGTTGAAGTCCATGGAGGCGATGGAGGGAGAGACATGTAGCTTTCAGTGTATTCTGTCACGGGAAAGCACTGACGAGTGTTCCTGGACCTTGAATGGCCAGACCGTGGCTAACGGAGGACGCTTCCAGGTCTCCAGTACAGGTCGCAAGTACATGCTGGTTATCAAGGATGTGACGCCAGCCGATGCTGGTGAGGTGGTCTTCAGCATCAAGAACCTGATCTCCAAGACTACCTTAGCTGTTGAAGGTCAGACGTCTGTACCAGTTGAGGTTCTTACATCAATCTGCATGGGTTTTAGCGTTCATAGTTTTGAGACTTTATTCAACTGATCCCTGAGGTTATCGCAAAGTTGGGTATGTAGACCATTGGGAGAAAATTAACACATTTCTTAGTTTGTTTGTTGCTGTAATTGAAAGGAAATTGAGCCAGGAAATTGAGGAACTATAATTGTCCTTTGTTCCAGGCAAAGCCCAATCTGTATCACGGGAGCTGCAGAGCATTAGTGTAGTCTCAGGGGAGGATGCTGTGTTCACCTGTGAGGTCACACAGACCAGGGCCAACGTCCAGTGGGCCAAGGATGGGAAGGACATCAGGAAGAGTGAGAAGTATGAGATCAGTAAAGAGGAGAGGGTCATAAAGTTGACCATCCACAGTGTCACTGTTCAGGACTCTGGGGAATATAGTTGTGAGGTCATCGGAGGGGCCACTACCAAGGCCAAGCTGGAGATCAAAGGTAAGTCTGACAAGTTCCCTTCACAGACACCTTCAATTGTTTAACGGTTGTTGATTATTGGATATTCAGGTATCATTGACCATGAACTACCACTTTTCAACTGTGACTGCTTTTTAATGTTAAATAACAAAAAATGCTTCCTCTCCTACCTCAATGGTCTCTGCTGTGCTCCTACCTGAATGTCCCTTTCCTCAGAGCCAGTCCACAAGTTTATCAAGGAGTTGAAGGACAGCGAGGCGGAGGAGAAGGGCTCAGTGACCCTGCAGTGTGAGACAGCCCAGCCTGCCTCCAAGCCCACCTGGTCCAAGGGAGGCGTAGAGCTCAAGGCCGGGGGACGCTACGAGATGAGCCAGAAGGAGACCGTCCTCACCCTCACTATCAAACAGCTGGAGGAGAAAGACAGCGGCACTTACACCTGTGATGTGGGCACCGCCAAGATGACGGGGAAGGTGACAGTCAAAGGTAAGACTATGGTCTATATACAGTATAGATCTTTTTTTTATATAGTGCTTTCAATTACTATGAGATCACCAAACAATTTATAGTGAATTGATATGACCTTTGACTGAAATTATTGTATGGTTTTGCACATTCATACTGTATGTTAATAACATTTTTTATGTAGTAATTACAGACACTGTAAATTAAAGATTTGCTGACCTGCTGACTGCTGTGCATAGCAGGGCACAGAGCTTTGAATTTATGTTGAGAATTTAGATGCTTCTTCAAATGTCTTGTGAGCGATTTGGTTGCCTCTGACAACTTTTAATGATCGCTATTTGAATAATACTAGGGGTTATATGAGCCATAATTTGTTTGTGGTCTCTTGGAGCTGACATTGTAACATCTAAGATTGACTCTCCTGCTTGTCTTCTTGAACAGACAACATTCATACGATGCAACTTAACTGAGCATTATTCATGTCCCTTTGTTTTGCCTTACTATATGCTAAATGTTTTAACATTTGGGAGATCATTCCTTCCTACTGTCTAATCCCATTCTGGTTGTTGGACAAGACACACATTATGCTCAGAACAGCATGTGCCCTTGTCTGTGCTTCCCGTCATTGTCTAAGATGTGTTTCATCCAGGTCAGACAGTGTTCATAGTGGAGCCACCCCAGGACGTTGACTGTTTCAAGGGGGACTCTGACATGTTTAGGTGCCTTGTCAGCCCCCTGGACCTGCCCTATCTGGTGCAGTGGTGCCTAGACCAAATCCCTCTGCAGCCCAGCCCCCTCAATGAGATCCAGGTATCTGAGGGGGGAATCTTCTCATTCACCGTGAGGGAGCTGACACTTATGGACTCAGGCACCGTCTATGTGGTGATTGGGGATAAGAGCGCATACACTTCACTAATGGTCAAAGGTAACTCCCATGGCAGGAGCCATGGTTCGAATTATATGGGGGCTAGAGGGATCTGGGCACCCTCATAACAATCCTGGGTCCCCCTGTCCTATCTAGATCTATGGCAGATCTATAGCTGTAGTAGATACAAGAGATGGAAGTGCATCACTGCATTTTCCCTCTTCTTTAGTTTCTCTGAAATTGAAATGATACTTGCTTGACTTTTAACGTTCATCTAGACTCGTCGTTGCAGTGTGCATTGTAAATGCACAATTTATGCAATATCATTAGTGACACCCCCCAGGTGGTGTCCTCGATACCTGTGGCACCATTCATACCATCAGATCGCAGTCAACCATTCCGTAATGGTCTTTGTTGGTCTTGTTCATCATTCTCTCATCTTTGGGTCCTCAGAGTCAAGAGAGAAAGATTCGATTATTGAAGGATGGATACTTCATGTACAGCGGCATCCCTGATTCTTAGGTGTCCAGTTTATTAGCAGATTTCATCTATATTTTTCGTAGCCAGACTATTATTCATATTCGTATTACGGACTACAAAGGGAAACCCAGCCGCGAGCTGCCCAGTGACGCAAGTCTACCAGACAGGCTAAATGCCTTTTATGCTTGGTTCGAGACAAGCAACACTGAAGCATGCATGAGAGCACCAGCTGTTCCGGACGACTGTGGGATCAGGCTCGCCGTAGCCGATGTGAGTAAGACCTTTAAACAGGTCAACATTCACACGGCTGCGGGGCCAGACGGATTACCAGGACGTGTACTCAGAGCATGCGCGGACCAACTGGCAAGTGTCTTCACTGACATTTTCAACCTCTCCCTGACCGAGTCTGTAATACCTACATGTTTCAAGCAAACTACCATAGTCCCTGTGTCCAAGAAAGCGAAGGTAACCTGCCTAAATGAATACCGCCCCGTAGCACTCACATCTGTAGCCATGAATTGCTTTGAAAGGCTGGTCATGGCTCATATCAACACCATCATCCCGGAAACCCTAGACCCAATCCAATTCGCATACCACCCCAACAGATCCACAGATTACGCATTCTCAATCGCACTCCACACTGCCCTTTCCCATGTGGACAAAAGGAACACCTATGTGAGAATGCTGTTCATTGACTACAGCTTAGCGTTCAACACCATAGTGCCCACAAAGCTCATCACTAAGCTAAGGACCCTGGGACTAAACACCTCCCTCTGCAACTGGATCCTGGACTTCCTGACGGGCCGCCCCCAGGTGGTAAGGGTAGGCAACAACACATATGCCATGCTGATCCTAAACATGGGGGCCCTTCAGAGGTGCGTGCTTAGTCCCCTCCTGTACTCCCTGTTCACCCATGACTGCATGGCCAAGCACGACTCCAACACCATCATTAAGTTTGCTGACGACACAACGCTGGTAGGCCTGATCACCGACAACGATGAGACAGCCTATAGGGAGGAGGTCCTTGACCTGGCAATGTGGTGCCAGGAAAACAACCTCTCCCTCAACGTGAGCAAGACAAAGGAGCTGATCGTGGACTACAGGAAAAGGAGGGCTGAACACTCCCCCATTCACATCGACCAGGCTGTAGTGGAGCGGGTCGAGAGTTTCAAGTTCCTTGGTGTCCACATCACCAACAAACTATCATGGTCCAAACACACCCAAGGAAGTCTTGAAGAGGGCAAGACAATGCCTTTTCCCCCTCAGGAGACTGAAAAGATTTGGCATGGGTCCCCAGATCCTCAAAAAGTTATACAGCTGCACCATCAATGAGTATGCTTCTATTGTGTCCTGGAAAATAAACTAAGAAATGATTCCTATCTGAAAACTATTCTGAATATTGTTCATGTGTAGATGGGTACCTGAATGCAAAGCCATTGTTGCATAAGTGCTGCCAAAAGCTCAACAAATGCCTCTCTCTGTATGCTGCTTATCCTTTGTGCACTGGAAGGATTTCATTTTGTTTTGTGGTGGTGTTCAGCTGTGAAGACCATGTTTATTTCTGTACTGGTTTGATTACTATCTTCATTTAACAAGTCATCTGTTTCATTGACCCACCCAATCATTGGAATCATCTTTCATGCTGTTCCAAAGGACAGCATGAAAGCATCTGGATCACTATCATCGTCCATTACCCATTGTTCTCCACCATTTTGCTGCTTTTCCACTTCCATCACAACTGAAGATTTCAAAGAGAATGTTTTGACTGATTGTTAATGAATTTGGGCCTGTTCTTATTTTTCTAGCCTTGCCTGCCAGCTTTAAACAAAAGCTGATGAACCAGCAGGCCAAGGAAGGGGAGAGTATCACTCTCTGTTCTGTGTTATCCAAACCTGGGGCCAAGGTTCAGTGGAAGAAAGGCACTGAGAATCTCAAAGCTGGAGATAAATATGAGATAAAGCAAAAAGATGCCTCCTGCGAGCTTCAGATAAAACATCTGAAGGTTGAAGACAGTGGAGAGTACTCCTGTGAGTGTGGAGACCAGAAGACCACAGCGACTATAAACATCAATGGTATGGATACATAGTCTTGGTCAATGGGAATGTTGGGAAGTTTGTGTTTACAGGGGCTCAGTCACTCAAATTGATATATGTAATGTCATGTGTTGGTAGAAAACATGTTTTTAGTTATTGTAAATACAATATAATTGCATATTTAATCCAATGGTTTGTTAGCGTTACCTTTGACCTTCAAACACAAGCTGGAGAACCAGGAGGCTAAGGAGGGTGGCAGTGTTACCCTGCACTGTGAGCTTTCTAAACCTGGGGTCCCTGTGGAATGGAGGAAGGGAACACAGGTGCTGAAGTCTGGAGAAAAGTACCATATGAAACAGAAAGAATCTGTGAGTGAACTCCTGATCAGCAAAGTAGTACCAGAGGACAGTGGAGACTACAGCTGTATGTGTGGAGACTTGAAGACTACAGCCAGTCTCAAGATTAAGGGTAAGAGGCAGATTGTTGTCATTGAATAGCTACTGTATGTTCCGCTGAAGTTGTTCTGTACTGTCTTTTTCAGTGCCATTATCAAGTTTCAAGTGTGATTCAGTAGATTATTTTTAAGAAGGTGGTTTGGTATAATGGCTTTGATTGTGTTGAATAGGTATAGTTGTCATCTTGGCTTTGTTTAATTTTGTATGTTTTTGTGATTCAGTGTCAGCAGCAGGTTCTGCATTGCCTGAAAATCCAGTGTTTAAGCTTAGAAGTATTCCCAGCCATTTGTCTATGACTGTCTCTGTGTGTTATCTGTCTCCGTCCAGTTGATCTTTGTGTCTTTGTAGTCTGTGTGTTTTCATTGTTTTGATCATGTTGTTAGTCTTTGTTAGTGATCATTCTGTCTCTGTTTCTGTGTTTGGGTTCATTATTTAAGTACCTGTTTTTTAAACTGTGCCATTCTCATGGTTTTAGAGGATGCACTCATGTCTGATTGCCTCATATGATTGGTTAGGCCTATTGTTTTTTAATGTATTTTATATGGTTTATTTTGAATCCCCAGCCCAACCTGTTACATTCAAACAAAAGCTGGGGAACCAGGAGGCTGAAGAGGGGGGCAGTGTTACCCTGCACTGTGAGCTCTCTAAACCTGGGGTCCCTGTGGAATGGAGGAAGGGAACACAGCTGCTGAAGTCTGGAGAAAAATACCAGATTAAGCAGAAAGAATCTGTGAGTGAACTCCTGATCAGCAAAGTAGTACCAGAGGACAGTGGAGACTACAGCTGTATGTGTGGAGACCAGAAGACTACAGCCAGTCTCAAGATTAAGGGTAGGGTGACACTTCTTGTTACTGTATGCACAAAAATGTTGTTTACTTTTTTTTGAGTCATTATCATTATTGGCATATGCATATTATTAGAATTTTAGGAATCAATATTGTTTTCCTCAGAAATATGATTTTGTCTTATTTGTCTTTGTACTGTATGTTCCTACATATGGTCTGTCTCTGTCTGTGTTTTGTCTCTATTTCAGTTCAGTTTTGTCTTTGCGTGTGGTCTGTCTCTGTCTTCAATTTGTCCATCTGTGTGTGTCTTTCTGTTGATCTAACTCTGTTTGATCTGTTTTGTCAAATGTTTTGGACTGCACAATTGCTCCTGAGTACGGTCATATATTGGCAGAACAGGAAATATCCAGCTTTACATATTGCCTACATGTCTCAGAGTTTTGTTCATTTTGGTCACTTTGTCTCTGTGTTTGGATTACCTGAGCTTTGAACCATGTCATTAGCTAGGTTTCCATCCAACTGCCGACAGATTTTCATGCAAATATAAAACAATCTGCATGAAGAAAATATGCACATTTTCCTACCAGTGGTGTATTTCCACCAAACGGACTTGTTGCGGATAAAAGTTAGTGCGTGATGACATAGTGCACACAAAAGTAACTTTTTCGCTTAAGTTTTCATATACCGAATAAAAATCGAAAGTTCAATGTGTTTCCATAGCATTTTTAACTCTACCGACAGTTTTGTCGCAAAAACTGTTGCGTTAAATAGCAAATGTGCCTGCTCTGGTCTTGGTACGTGCGCTCTAGCAACAGCTGGCAGATACAGTGCGGGTAGGCTAGTCTACTTGTTGAGATTATTATTGATAAGGGCGAGAATATTTTTATTTGTCAAATGGCATCGATCATCATCTCACCAGAATAAGACCCTCAATATTTATTGGAAAGGAGCATCAAGATCACCATGCACTTTTACCACCCTTTGAAGTTCATCATAAATTATTTCGTCTGTAGCCTAATAAACGGCATAGTTTCCTGAGTCAAAGAGGAAGGACCACACACCATTTCATCGCTTGACTCCAAGTTTACTTCGCTATGATGGTTATTATATCAATTTTTGCGCAAATAGGCGTTTCCACCACCATTTCTCACATAATTCATTTTACTGACACAAAATGATCCCACCATGTCGAAAGAACAAATTATGTGGTCCTCTGTAGCTCAGCTGGTAGAGCACGGCGCTTGTAACGCCAAGGTAGTGGGTTCGATCCCCGGGACCACCCATACACAAAAAACATTTAAGCACGCATGACTGTAAGTCGCTTTGGATAAAAGCGTCTGCTAAATGGCATATTATTATTATGTTGGCATTTATAAAATTGTACAAAAAATAGCTGTTTCCATCACAGCTGTTGTGATTTTAGAAGTTGGTTTAGAAGTTGCACTCATGTCAAATTATTTTTCTGTTTTATATCAAAATATATGGTAATGTTTTAATCCTCAGCCCAACCAGTGACGTTCAAACACAAGCTGGAGAGCCAGGAGGCTAAGGAGGGGGGCAGTGTTACCCTGCACTGTGAGCTTTCTAAACCTGGGGTCCCTGTGGAATGGAGGAAGGGAACACAGGTGCTGAAGTCTGGAGAAAAGTACCAGATGAAACAGAAAGAATCTGTGAGTGAACTCCTGATCAGCAAAGTAGTACCAGAGGACAGTGGAGACTACAGCTGTATGTGTGGAGACCAGAAGACTACAGCCAGTCTCAATATTAAGGGTAAGAGGCAGATTGTTGTCATTGAATAGCTACTGTATGTTCCGCTGAAGTTGTTCTGTACTGTCTTTTTCACTGCCGTTATCAAGTTTGAAGTGTGATTCAGTAGATTATTTTTAAGAAGTTGGTTTGGTATAACGGCTTTGATTGTGTTGAGTAGGTGTAGTTGTCATCTTGGCTTTGTTTAATTTTGTATGTTTTTATGATCCAGTGCTTAAGTTTAGAAGTATTCCCAGCCATTTGTCTATGACTGTCTCTGTTTGTTATCTGTCTCCGTCCAGTTGATCTTTGTGTCTTTGTAGTCTGTGTGTTTTTATTGTGTTGATCATGTTGTTAGTCTTTGTTAGTGATCATTCTGTCTCTGTTTCTGTGTTTGGGTTCATTATTTAAGTACCTGTTTTTTAAACTGTGCCATTCTCATGGTTTTAGAGGATGCACTCATGTCTGATTGCCTCATATGATTGGTTAGGCCTATTGTTTTTTAATGTATTTTATATGGTTTATTTTGAATCCCCAGCCCAACCTGTTACATTCAAACAAAAGCTGGGGAACCAGGAGGCTGAAGAGGGGGGCAGTGTTACCCTGCACTGTGAGCTCTCTAAACCTGGGGTCCCTGTGGAATGGAGGAAGGGAACACAGGTGCTGAAGTCTGGAGAAAAATACCAGATTAAGCAGAAAGAATCTGTGAGTGAACTCCTGATCAGCAAAGTAGTACCAGAGGACAGTGGAGACTACAGCTGTATGTGTGGAGACCAGAAGACTACAGCCAGTCTCAAGATTAAGGGTAGGGTGACACTTGTTGTTACTGTATGCACAAAAATGTTGTTTAACACTTTCTTTTGAGTCATTATCATTATTGGCATATGCATATTATTATAATTTTAGGAATCAATATTGTTTTCCTCAGAAATATGATTTTGTCTTATTTGTCTTTGTGCTGTATGTTCCTACATATGATCTGTCTCTGTCTGTGTTTTGTCTCTATTTCAGTTCAGTTTTGTCTTTGCGTGTGGTCTGTCTCTGTCTTCAATTTGTCCATCTGTGTGTGTCTTTCTGTTGATCCAACTCTTTTTGATCTGTTTTGTCAAATGTTTTGGACTGCACAATTGCTCCTGAGTACGGTCATATATTGGCAGAACAGGAAATATCCAGCTTTACATATTGCCTACATGTCTCAGAGTTTTGTTCATTTTGGTCACTTTGTCTCTGTGTTTGGATTACCTGAGCTTTGAACCATGTCATTAGCTAGGTTTCCATCCAACTGCCGACAGATTTTCATGCAAATATAAAACAATCTGCATAAAGAAAATATGCACATTTTCCTACCAGTGGTGTATTTCCACCAAACGGACTTGTTGCGGATAAAAGTTAGTGCGTGATGACATAGTGCACACAAAAGTAACTTTTTCGCTTAAGTTTTCATATACCGAATAAAAATCGAAAGTTCAATGTGTTTCCATAGCATTTTTAACTCTACCGACAGTTTTGTCGCAAAAACTGTTGCGTTAAATAGCAAATGTGCTTACTCTGGTCTTGGTACGTGCGCTCTAGCAACAGCTCGCAGATACAGTGTGGGTAGGCTAGTCTACTCTTTGAGATTATTATTGATAAGAGCGAGAATATTTTTATTTGTCAAATGGCATCGATCATCATCTCACCAGAATAAGACCCTCAATATTTATTGGAAAGTAGCATCAAGATCACCATGCACTTTTACCACCCTTTGAAGTTCATCATAAATTATTTTGTCTGTAGCCTAATAAATGGCATGGTTTCCTGAGTCGTAGTGGGAGGACCACACACCATATCATCGCTTGACTCCAAGTTTACTTCGATATGATGGTTATTATATCAATTTTTGCGCAAATAGGCGTTTCCACCACCATTTCTCACATAATTCATTTTACTGACACAAAATGATCCCACCATGTCGAACGAACAAATTATGTTGGCATTTATAAAATTGTACAAAAGATACCTGTTTCCATCACAGCTGTTGTGATTTTAGATGTTGGTTTAGAAGTTGCACTCATGTCAAATTATTTTTCTGTTTTATATCAAAATAAATGGTAATGTTTTAATCCTCAGCCCAACCAGTGACGTTCAAACACAAGCTGGAGAGCCAGGAGGCTAAGGAGGGGGGCAGTGTTACCCTGCACTGTGAGCTTTCTAAACCTGGGGTCCCTGTGGAATGGAGGAAGGGAACACAGGTGCTGAAGTCTGGAGAAAAGTACCAGATGAAACAGAAAGAATCTGTGAGTGAACTCCTGATCAGCAAAGTAGCACCAGAGGACAGTGGAGACTACAGCTGTATGTGTGGAGACTTGAAGACTACAGCCAGTCTCAAGATTAAGGGTAGGAGGAAGACATGTTATTAACTATTTATCATACTGTATATGCAAAGCTGTTGTGCTTTCGTCCCCGCGATGCCCTGTTACTGGTATACAATGTTTCAAATGGAAGTTCAGTGTATTGTCAAGCAGAATGTTTATTTTTATTTTTATATATGGGTGTCCAGCAGTTGTTGATTATGATGTTGATTTGTTGGTTGACTTTGTCATGTTTAAGGAACTGTAATGTTATGTCTGTCTTTTTGTTTGTGTCTCTGGGTGTCTGTGGGTAGTCTGTTTCAGTGTTGTCTGTGTGTCTTTGTGTATATTGGTTTGAGTCATGGTGTTACAGATTGGTTGTTTCTATAATTTGTTTGTATTTGTATTGCTTTGTTCCTTGTTCCTTTGTGGGTGTTCCATTGACTATGCAATGGTGATTTTAGTTGTTCGTTTTTTTTACACTTTCATTCACAACTAACCCACTAATGGTTCCACAGCCCAACTTGTGACCTTCAAACATAAACTGGAGAGCCAGGAGGCTGAGGAGGGGAGCAATGTTACCCTGCACTGTGAGCTCTCTAAACCTGGGGTCCCTGTGGAATGGAGGAAGGGAACACAGGTGCTGAAGTCTGGAGAAAAGTACCAGATTAAGCAGAAAGAATCTGTGAGTGATCTCCTGATCAGCAAAGTAGTACCAGAGGACAGTGGAGACTACAGCTGTATGTGTGGAGACCAGAAGACTACAGCCAGTCTCAAGATTAAGGGTAAGAGAAAATTGATACATTCAGAAGTGCTTTTGTCACTTAATATATTTTCATTGAATATCACTAAAATGATATTACGTTCACAGGTGTAACATTTGTTGTACTGTATTGTATGCTGTCTTCAAATTCATTATTTGTTTCTGTTTGTCTGTCATTTTGTATGTGTTCTGAAATGGAGGAATGGGGAAGGCAAATATCGTTTCGCTACAATAAGGACAAATATTCAGGAAAATGCTACATATCAGCTTGATGCATTTGAACTACAGTTGTGTTGGGTTTCATATTTGAACTCCAATTACATTATTTGTCTTTCATTTAATGAGCAAGTGACTTTGAGTACAAACACTGTTATCCCTATGTACAAGGAAATATTCTTCCTCAAGGTCAATTCAGATGGGATGATATATGGGTTAACTTGAATCCCATCGTGTTGCGTGAAGCTTTCCACCATCATAGCCCCAAAGGCTGAATGTTACGCCAGCTGTGTTCTCAGTAGACTTGCAGTTATATTGTTTGCCTTGCCATTCAAAGTTGGATGTTTTATCATAGCTGTGAAGCGCCCAGCTCCCCCAGTCTCCCCCAAACAAGAGCCTCCGAAGCAGGATACCAAACTGGAAGAAGGTAGGGAGGGGAGTGGACATGGAGAACGGTTTGGTTGTCTGCTTTAACTTGCCATATGTGCAGTTTGTCTTGCTTCTTGGTCCTGATGATGATGTTGATAGTCTTCATTGTCCTTTTATAGTGAGTGCACATGTCACTATGCTTTAAGTTTCTTGTGGTTTGTTTGTGCCACTCTTTATTGAGCTAAAAAAGGAAATAAGATGGGCATCTTTGTCTCTTCACATGTGTTCACCACATCTGTTGCTTGTCGTTGTGCAAAAAAAAGAATTTGTTTGTTTGGATCAGTGTTGTAAGCTACTCTCTGTATTCTTTTTGCAGTCAATCCACATGTTCTGAAGGCTTTGTTCCGTTACTTCTGCTGTTCACGGTTTTTAAAGAAATCTCTTTATTTAAGACTTGTGGGGTTACATCCTTTGTTGGCAGTTTGTGTGGTATATCCCTCTGTTGGCAGTTTTTCTGTTATGGTCGATCTTGTCATAAAAGGTTTGGTTATGAGGTTTTGTATTCTAAGTTCGATGTTTTATCGCAGCTCTGAAGCCTTCAGCTCCTCCAGTAACTCCCAAACAGGAAGAGCCACAGAAGGAGGAGGCCAAAAAGGAAGAAGGTAGGGAAGGACAAGGAGATCAAGTTTGGTGTACTGTTTGGCCCTCTGTCTTTATGGTATGTCTGTAAGTGTTTTGTTACTGTTAGTTTGTGCCACTGTTGAATCATTTACTGTATGAGGGAAGATTTCCTCTCCTGCTTTATTTGTTGTACATACTCTGGATGACTTGTTGAATGGTCTGAGGCGTTCTCTCTGTAGAGCTTTTCATCTGTCAGTTGCTGTCAGGTGTCAAGTCATGTGGGCATTATTATGTTCTTTATGGTTGCTCATGTAGGCTCCATCCATGTTGTCTGATGGTTTTCAGTTACTTTATTTGTTGCGCATATTCTGGATACCGACTAGTTTGAATCATCTGAGTGGAAATGACTGCGTCTCTGTCGGTTCCTGTCCTTTCATTGTTGTCATGTTATGGAGGCTCTGTCATTATGTTGCTTACGGCTTTGCAACTGATCATAGCATTGTGGTTACGTTTCAGACCTATATTGTTTTATCACAGATCCAAAGCCACCATCTCCTGTAGTCATCCCAGAACAGGAGACCAAAAAGCAAGAAGGTAGATCTGGAAATCTGAATCTGCCTTTTTTCGTGTTGTTGTTTGTGGCAGTGACTGATGCTGTATTTTTTGTGCTAATAAGCATAATTGGAAGCAATTTGTTGTATCACATCTCTTATAAAAGTTCAATCTGTGATTGTTTTAAACATTTAGCAAATTGCATTATGGTGTGCCTGTTATCGTGTTTGCAGACAGTAAGCTATAAGGTTTGGAATGTGGAACTGAAGTTGCTGTAGGCTATGGTTTTAATGGTGCTGTCAAATGTTTTTCTCTTAAAAATTATATTTTTGATTTTCAGTTGATTTTCATTTCATATTTCATATTACCTGTAGTTCTAAAGGCTGCTCCTCCTGTTGTCCCCAAAGAAGAGCCTGTGAAGCTGAAGTCAAAGACTGTGGTGGAAGCCCATGGTAGGAAAGGATGTCCCATCTGTTGGCTGCTGAGCTGGGCTTTGTCTGCAGTTTGTTGAACATCGAAAATGTGAAGAATAATGCAATATCTTCAGTAGTGTAAAATCATTTCATTTCATAAATATTCTTACTACATTTCTTAACCTCATACAAATTAGAATGGTAATTTTAGGCATTGCCAAATGTAGCAACCAAAATATAATTGTTACCTAGCATGTTAGCATGAAACCAATTTACTCAATCTGTAGCCAGCTAGATAGCTAGATACCTGAACTTGGTCTAGCTAAATTAGTTTTGCAATATGCAACTCACCATATAAATGTACGTGTGCAGGATGCTGACAAATTGACATAATTACAGGTGTAATTTTATATTTCTAGTGTCTTGAGAAGATTCAAAGTTTCCCTCAGATACCTCATCTCTACAGAATGTGCTCCATCTCTTCTGTCAATCAAGGGCATAGGGCGGGACTATGATAGTAGTTTGCTTCTGATTAGCCAGATCTAGTTTATTTTATCTGTCAAGAATAAACCCTTAACCAGGTTATAACTCAGTCTTAGAAACAGATATATACTACAGATTGTGTTTCTTGCTATGTTTTTCTATGTATGTAAACATTGTCTGTGCACAATGTCACCTTTGCTTAGAGTGGCCTGTCCTTATTTTGGAGTCTCTGCTTCCCTTTGTGGGCTTGCCTTTTGTGAGCATACTCAGCTCAGAGTTGGATCTAAAGTGAAATGTTTCAACCCCCAGCTCCTCCAGTCATTCACAAACAACAGGAGACCAAAGAGCCCCAGAAGGCGACAGTTGAAAAGAAGACAGTAGTAGAAGCCCATGATAGGAAAAGATGAGATATGCTCTCTGTTGAGATCATTCTGGAGTTTAGCTATAGAATATTGAGTTATTATGGTGTTTAGTCATTGCTTTGAAGCCTGCTGTTCCTGCTGCCCCCAAACCAGAACCCCAGAAGGAGACAGTTGAAAAGACAGTAGTTGAAAACCATGGTAAAAAAATATATTTCTGGTTACTTGTTGAAGTAAAGTTGTTTAGTTATTATGGTGTTTTGTAATAGTCTGCGGCCCTATTGCTCCTGCCATGCCCAAAACTGAGCCTCAGAAGGAGACAGTAGAGAAGAAGACCATGGTAGAAGCCCCTGGTAGAAAAAGATGAGCTTCACTATATATACAAAAGTATGTGGACACCCCTTCAAATTAGTGGATTCGGCTATTTCAGCCTCACCTGTTGCTGACAGGTGTATAAAATCGAGCACACAGCCATGCAATCTCCATAGACAAACATTGGCAGTAGAATGACCTTACTGAAGAGCTCAGTGACTTTCGACGTGACACAGTCATAGGATGCCACCTTCCAACAATTCAGTTCGTCACATTTATGCCCTGCTAGAGCTGCCCCGGTCAACTGTAAGGGCTGTTATTGTGAAGTGGAAACTTCTAGGAGCAACAACGACTCAGCCGCGAAGTGGTAGGCCACACAAGCTCACAGAACGGGAGCACCGAGTGCTCAAGCGCGTAGCTCGTAAAAATCATTTGTCCTCAATTGCAACACTCACTTCCGAGTTCCAAACAGCCTCTGGAAGCAATGTCAGCACAATAACTGTTAGTCGGGAGCTTTATGAAATGGGTTTCCATGGCCGAGCAGGGCTCTTTTTCATGGTTCAGGATAGGCCCCTTAGTGAAGGGAAATCTTAATGCTACAGCATACAATGACATTCTAGATGATTCTGTGCTTCCAACTTTGTGGCAACAGTTTGGGGAAGGCCTTTTCCTGTTTCAGCATGACAATGCCCCAATGCACAAACGAGGTCCATACAGAAATGTTTTGTTGAGATCGGTATGGAAGAACTTGACTGGCCTGCACAGAGCCCTGACATCAACCCCATCGAACACCTTTGGGATGAATTGTAAAGCCAACTGCGAGCCAGGCCTAATCGCCCAACGTCAGTGCCCGACCTCACTAATGATCTTGTGGCTGAATGGAAGCAAGTCCCAACAGCAATGTTCCAACATCTAGTGGAAAGCCTTCCCAGAAGAGTGGAGGCTGTTATAGCAGCAAAGGGGGAACCAACTCCATATTAATGCCCATGATTTTGGAATGAGATGTTCGACGAGCAGGTTTCCACATACACTACATGACCAAAAGTATATCTTGTCTGTTGAGCTCATACCTGTGCATTGTCTGTCACAGCAATGTAAATACTGTATTCTGGTGTTGCTGTAAGTAATTGTGTTTTTGAATCTGGTGGATAATTGCAGTCAGATAGGAACTGCTGCTCGTTGGCCTATCTGTTCAAGTGAACATTGTTTGTGGCTTTGTCACTGTGTGGCTCATTTGTGGGGTCTGTGCTTCATCTTGTGATCCTCTTAGTATGTGTCAAGTAAGGGTTTTCTTACTTGACATATTCCAAAAAGTTTTTGCTTGGTCTTATTTGTTTACCCCTGATTTGAATGGCGGTGTGTGTCTGTTTAAAAACGTTTTGTTATATGTCGTCAGTGGAGACTGGTGGGAGGAGCAATAGGAGGACGGGCTTATTGTAATGGCTGGAATGGAATTATTGGAACAGAGACAAATGTGGTTTCCATATGTTTGATCTGTTCCATTCATTCCATTCCAGCCATTACAATGAGCCCGTCCTACTATAGCTCCTCCCACCTGCCTCCACTGTATGACATAATTTAAATTCACATTTATACTGTCACATGATTTATTGCGTTATCTGCTTTCTAGAAACTGATTAAGTTCAATTATATACTGGTAGTCATTTTGGTGTTTTGTCATGGTCTCTAAGCCTGTTTTTCCTGCCACCCTGAAATTGGAGCCCCAAAAGGAGGTGACAGAAAAGAAAGGTAGAAATGAAAACAGTAGAAGGACCTGGTAGGAAAGATGAGCTGTGTGTAGTCTATCGCATCAATTCAAATACTGCTGCTCTTTGGCCTATCTGTTCAAGTGAACGTCATTCATGGCTTTAGCATTGTGGGGCACATTTTGGGGGCATATAGTCATTTTAGTGTTTTGTCATAATCTCTAAGCCTGCTGCTCCTGCCACTCCCAAACCTCAATTGTGGCTTTAGCATTGTATGGCTCATTTTTGGGTCTCTTCTTCATCCTGTGGTCCTGTTAGTGTGTCCAGTAAACGTATTCTGTTTACTCTTTGTCCCTCACTTGCAGTGTAGGCTATGTATTGGCAGTCTGTGTCACTGGTTTCTCTCTTTGAAGACCGTTGTATGAAATTGGGAATTCATGTTCATGCTCTCATGCTTTGGTTTAGCATTCTGCTTACTAGACAGATGATGAAGTTAAATCATATACCGGTAGTCATTTTGGTATTTTGCCATAGCTGTGAAGCCTGCTGCTACTGCTGTCCCCAAACTGGAGCCCCAGAAGGAAGAGACAGTAGAAAAGAAACCGAAATAGAAGCCCCTGGTAGGAAAAGACAAACTATATGTTTGTTGAGCTCATACA